TTTATCTTCACCCGAATGAGAACCTTTCTCTGGTTCTTGTTTCACCTCCCTTAAATGGCAAGAATTATCAGACTTGGTTTAGAGTTATGAGGATGGCTTTTAGATCAAAAAATAAGCTTACTTTTGTTGAAGGCAGAATCAACATTTCAGAACTTGAAGATCCCATGTTCATCGCTTGGGATAGATGCAACACCAAGATTCTTTCTTGGCTTCATAAATCGATTTCAGAATCAATAGCACAGTCAGTATTATGGGCTAATAAAGTTATTGATGTCTGGAATGATTTAAAAGAAAGATTTGCACAATCAGATGTTTTTCGTCTTTTTTGATCTTGAAGATGATATTCTCAAAATGCAGCAAGGAGCACTTTCAGTTGCTGATTATTTCACCCAACTCAAAAATTTGTGGGATGAAATGGATAATCTTGAACCTATTCCATCATGCAGATGTCAACCAGCTTGCAGTTGTGGTCTTATAAACCAAGTAAAGTCAATAAGAGAAAGAAGTAGAGTAATCATATTCTTGAAAGGTCTCAATGACCAGTTTTCACATGTTCGATCACAGGTAATGCTTATTGAACCTTTACCAAGTGTTAATAAAGCATTTTTCTTTAGTGATTCAACAAGAAAGAAGATTGAATCTTGATAATGGATAAAACAACCAATCTGAGCAACAAGTCTTTGCTAATGCAATTGAACAAGGCAGAGGCAAAGGTGGAATTGCAAGTAGAGGTCGTGGCAGAAGCAATTATGGAGGAGGTTGAGGCAATGCATCAAAATTTTGCACTCATTGCAAAATGACAAATCATACAGTGGAAACATGTTATAGGAAACATGGTTTTCCTCCTGGATATCAAACAAGAAATCATATGGCTAACTTAGCTATTGAAGAAGAAAGATGTAGTTGATCATTTTGAATTCACTTTGGGAGCAACTTTCACCAAAGAGCAACATCTAGAATTGTTGAATCTGCTACAAAGATCAAAAGAAACCAATCAATCACATGCCTCCAATATAGTTCAAACATCTGTTTATAATGTTGATTCTGCAAACACAGGTGAGAAACCTATTTTTTGGATCTTGGACACTGGAGCTACTGACCATATAGCTCATTTAACCTCTCAATTTTCTTTGATCAACAAAATCAAATCAATACCAATTACATTACCTGATGGGTCGAAAACAATTGCTTCTCACTCAGGCACCATCAATCTATCAGATACCATAACCTTGAAAAATGTTCTTTTTGTTCCAAATTTCCATGTTAATCTGATTTCCATAAAGAGACTTTTACAAGATCTTTGTTGTTATGCCATTTTTAAAGATCTAACATGTTCCATTATACAGATTTCATCAAGGAGGACGATTGGTTCAGCTAAGCATTTGAATAGATTATACATTCTTCAACATGATGGTGAAAAGCAAAGATATTCTGTCAATTCAAGTTCTTGTAATAACACAACCTCGTACCAAGAAAATCTGTGGCACTTAAGGCTTGGACATCCATATGATTATGCTCTTAAAGCCATATACTTACATTTTCCTTTTATTTCTTGTAAAAATACAATTCCTTGTGATACATGTCATCTTTCAAAGCAAAAGAAATTGCCTTATTCTCTTAGTTCTATCAAAAGTACAAAACCTTTTGAATTGATTCGTGCTGATATTTGGGGACCTTATTCTATTCCTTCAATACATCATAGATACTTAATGAAGATATACTTAGTTAATTTTTTAATAGTGATAAGAAAAAGTGTGGATGAAAAAAATCACATGCAATTGAGTGATTTAAAAAAAACATGGGGTGTAAGTTTTTTTTTTTTTTTAACTTTTCCCTAAAATCTAACATATAACATACTTGATATAATATTTTTTTTATATTTTATGTAAGAATTATATTTTATATATGGTGAAGATTCTTTATTTTTTTTATAACTTGATCCGTTATAAATGGACAAACATATAATATATGAATAATTTTGTGACTTTATGTATACACATATAATTTATAATGTTTGCATCAAAATGATAGCTTTTTTTTTTATTTGAGTTGAAGTTTGATATTTTGTTTCAATTCCATCTTGGCATTGCTTTTTATTATATCCCTAAGCAATTATTATGGTGTTATAAATGTCAACGAGGATTTAGTTTTTCTGAAGAATATTGGTCTCCCCTCCTCCCCTTTCAAAAAGTGGTTGCTTTGATCATCCTCCTAAGTCCTACCATCTTGCCATTGGTGGTTATATATATGACTTGTTGATAGCATTATTACTGTTGCCCTCAAAGCATTCCCCAGGAAAGATTCACCTCTTCCTTATCATGATTATGATCCCGAGCTTTCAAGAACTTAATCAAAGAAGCGTAAGGATTCAAGATCATCAGAGTGCTGGAATATTTTTATGCGAAACCAATAGCATCATCTACCTTCAAGCTGTGCAACTCAAACAATTTTTTTTTTTTTATAATTTGAAAGGTATTCCCATTCAACCTCCTCTATTCACCTTGTACTCAGAGATTTTTTAAGAATTTGCTTGAGACAAGGTTTGAACCCCTCACCTAAGCAAATCCTTAAAAGTTCAGTTGTTAACTGAGCTATCCTTGGGGTTCAATTTTTAGTAAGAATTGATTCGATATCTTTTAGAGGGGGTGGTAGAGGAGAATTTTTTTTATCCGAGAATCTCGATTTTCAGAAATATGATTTTTATATCCAGTTTACGAAAATATTCGAAAATTAAAAATTTAAAAAAATTCAGTTTTTCAGAAATTCTGGAGAATACCGCGTACCAAACGCCCCCAACGAAATTGATTTAATTCATTCATCTTAACACAGTGATTAAATAGTTACATATCTAAAAAATGTAGAGGTTTCTTATAATCTATTTTTTTTTTTTTTTTGGTATTCATCCTATAAGGGGAAGGATATTGTGACAACCAAGTTGTGTTACTACCAATTAATCTCACCGTTAGATCGATTATGTTGATTCAACGGTTATATTTATTTCCATCTTTGTATGATCATGATTTCCCAAATTTACTACTTTATATTTATTTTCACCTTTGTATGGTTATGATTTTTCATATTTAATGCTTTCACTTTAAATATGGGAAATCATAACCATACAAAGATGAAAATAAATATAACCGTTGGATCAACATAATCGATCTAACAGTGAGATTAATTGGTAGTCACTTGGTAGTAACACAACTTGGTTGTCACAATATCCTTCCTCTTCATATAATCTAAAAAATTTTATTTACATAATTATTTGTTTATATAGTTGTCAAGCGTGAACTACCAAATACACTTGTTGCCATGAAAATAGGGATTTTATATTCTTTTCTGTATTTTGTCTTAATTTTTTGAATATTTATAAAAGTATTTGTTGAAAATTAATATAATTTCTTTAAGAAAAAAAACCATTTTATTTGCAAATTAAAAGGCAAAAATTGGCTTACCCAAAATAAAAAAGGCAAAAATTGCTTACAAAAAAAGGCAAAAATTAAGTTCGTAGATATTTTTTTCAATATAACTCTGTCTTATTAGGAAAGGTTATAGGTAGGGGTGTTCGCAGTTTGGATTGGATCGATTTTGGAAGCAAAAATATCAAATCCAATTCCTTCGGTTTGATCATATAATCATCCATTCGGTTAGGATTTTTTTTCAAATCCGATCCGATCCGATCCAATTTTTTTTGGATTGGATTGGATCGATTTTCGGTTTTTTGAAAATCCTAAAATTTATTTCATGATTATTATGCAAGTAACAACTTTTGTATATATTGACTTTGTAAAAAAAAAATTAAAATACAAAAGCATTAGTAAACTAAATATAGTTTTTTTTGTTTGGGCAATGAGATATGAAGCTCTACAAAGATAAAATTTTGTTGATGAGATGTAACTAAATTTTTTCTTGGGTTTAGTTGATGGGTTAATGGGTCTTGAGTTTAGAAATTTTTAGGCTATGATTAGGAAAAGACCCAAATAAGTAGAGGAAAATTAATATATTGGATCGGTTTGGATTGGATCGATTTTTATCAACCCATCCAAAAATCGATCCAATCCCATTAAAATTTGCGGTTTTTTTTCGGTTTTCGGTTTATTCGGTTATCGGTTATCGATTTTTCGGTTCGGTTACCGCGGTTTGAATCGGTTTAGATCGATTGATGAATACCCTTAGTTATAGGGTTCGTTTTGTCTACCGTTATTGCAAATAAATTATCTGCAGTAAGCCCAATACGACGTCGTTTTGGGGCGAAAATCACGGTGTTCTACCATTATTGCAAATAAGTTATCTGCAGTAAGCCCAATACGACATCGTTTTGGGGCGAAAATCATGGTGTTTTTGTAATTTTAATTTATTTTAGAATTATAATAGTCTTTATATTTATAATTTTTTAAGATTTCAATACGAAAACGATGTTGTTTTGAGAATAAATGAGGATAACTTATCTACATTAACTGCAGAAACATTTTTCCCAATGTTATATTTACAAATTTTTTATTTATAAACTACACTATATCTTACCACTAAGACATAAAATTTTATAGATAAGACGTAATATAATTTGTAAAAATTTATAAGCCTTATGAATAAGACATAAACGATGTCGTTTTGGTTTGAAAAATTAAATTTACTTAATGAGACTGACTATTATAATCCTGTAATAAATTATAATTATAAAAGTACTTTTATTTATGTCCCAAAACAATGTCGTGTCGTCGTTTTGGACTCAATTAGTTACATTATTTACAGAAAAACTGAACCCTAAAAATTTATAAACTATTTTGTCAATATATCCTTCGTCTTATTTGTAATTTTAAATATTTATGATATTGGTGAGTGGCGATTGAATTCACCTGCCGTTCAACGCATGGCATCGCATAGCATCGTTGTCATTTGGATGCTATTTTTGTTTAATATAATAATTGGGAAGGCAGAGTGGGCAAGGTTGGGCTTTACCTTTTGGCCTTGGCAGTTGGCACCTTCCGTTCCAAGTTACGTAACCGTTGCGAAGAGCATTGATTCTCAAATCGGCGATGGCGGAAGGCGAAGAGCAGCATAGCGAGGTGGATGCAACTCTCCCTGACTTGCTGAAAAACACGCCTTCAAACATTGCGAGATTGGAGGACCAGATCGAACATTCCAAAGCAAGGCACAAGTATCTTGCACAAACTGCTAGCCCTTCTGATGGCGGTGATGTTAGGTGGTACTTTTGCAAGATCCCTTTGGCCCCCAATGGTATGTTTCTCTGTTTCTTCCACACATCTTACCTCAAACTCCATTCACTCACAATCACAAATCACAAATCAAACCTCTCTCTCTCTCTCTTCATGTAATAGGGTTTTAGTATTAGTAATTGCGGTGATGAACTTGTATTTGGTTGCAGAGTTGGCAGCCTCAGCCCCTTCCACAGAGATAGTGGGCAAGAGTGACTATTTTCGTTTTGGCATGAGAGATTCTCTGGCAATTGAAGCATCTTTCTTGCAGGTCATTTTTATAAAATGTATACTTGGATAAATTTTTCTACTTGTCTTTGATTTGAATCATGGTTGGCTGGCTTTACCTTTAAATAGTGAGAATCTTTTGTTGTATTTGCATTGTTAGAGAGAGGAAGAATTACTTTCTAGTTGGTGGAGAGAATATGCAGAATGTAGTGAAGGCCCAAGAGAACGACCAAGTTCCAGCACCGACAAGCATCGTGATGGATCTTTTCTGGGGCATACTCAGTCAACTGAACTATATGAAATAGAGGAAGAGAGAGTTGGTGTCCCTGTAAAGGGTGGACTCTACGAGGTTTTGGTTTTATTTTTTGTGTCATCTTTTCCTAGTAGTCTTAATAATCATAGCTTCATGCATTTCCATAGCACATTAAGTGGAAATTTGATGATTTGTTCTTGCACAAATTTTTTTCATGTGTTATAATACGAATGACTTCTTTTAAGTTTTATCCCTCACACTCTTTGGCTGATTTGTGGTTGAAACTTTTTTGTGTTCTGAACTTGTCAGCTCAATTTTCTACTTTTCTTCTAAGCCTTGGTGCTTTCTCATATATTCTTACTTTCTTGGAAAGAGGAACCAAAAAAAAGGTTGGACTAAAAACAAATGGAAAGGATAAACGGAAAACTAATTTTTGTGTTTATTTCAACCTTTTTCCCCACAAAACCAATAAGTTTCTTTTATGTGTGAATGTTTTATGTCTTTTTTTTGGTATATCTTGCTTGTTATTGGATCTGACGCAGGGTCCTAAATAACAGCGTTATAGGTTTTTTTTTTTTTTTTTAACTTATACATCTCAATGACATGAGGTTCAAGCTCCAGCAATGATAAAGCTGCTACATTGTGACTGAAAGTCATGGATTCTATAAAGAACCAATTCAACCCAAAAGCTTAAGCTGTTAAGGTGATGGCTTTTTTATGGTTTATATTATTCTCTAACACACCTTCTCACGCAAGAGCTCTTTGGGCTTGAAGCGTGGATATTGCATAGGTCCAATTTTTGATTTACCTTGTGTTTATTTAATTCCACTAGAAAGTGGAGGGAGGTGACGATCGAACTCGTGACCTAATGGTCATTGAAACTCTGATACCATGTAAAGAACCAATTCAATCCAAAAGCTTAAGCTATTAGGTGATGGTCTTTTTAATGATTTATATTATTGTTTAATAGGTTCGAATCTAAGAAATAATCTTTTTGCTAAAATGCAAAGGAAAGACTACGTATAAGAATTTTTTTCACCCCTACCCACACAAGTCAAGGTTTTTTTTTTTTTTTTTTTTTTTTTTTTTTAAATGCATTTCAACTACATCGAAGAGGATGAAGTGCTTTGGCATTTATTTTCACCAGAACTTATTATTTGTTACTTGTGCTTCTAAGGATATTTGGAATGTCATTAAGCACATATCAAATTTGCACATTTTCATAATGAGGGAATATGGCTTTTCTTTTTTAAAAAAGAAATAAATTGAGAACTTCTTTTTAAGGGAATGCTCATCAATGCAGGTAGATTTGATTAAGAGACATTGTTTCCCTGTTTATTGGAATGGAGAAAATAGGCGTGTTCTAAGAGGCCATTGGTTTGCTCGTAAAGGGGGCCTCGATTGGCTACCACTTCGGGAAGATGTTGCTGAACAACTAGAGATTGCTTATCATAGCCAGGTCTGTCTAATTGTTCAATTTACTTTTTCCAATGCAGAACTTATTGTTATAACTTTTAAAATGATTAGCAGTAAGTGTGGTTCTGACATAAAATTATGAAAACTCTTGCTCTTTTTCTTCAAATTGCTTGGTAAATGCCTATTTCATAGGGGTTTCTTGGTTTGCGTATAGAGAGAGGCTGACAAACTTTGTTCTTGATGTGCTTTACTTGTTCGTTCTGATTTCGTATGTCATGGTTTCTTTTGTGAGGATTTCTTACCCTCCGCTCTTGAAATATTCTCTTTCTCATCTCTAACAATATTTCTTTCTCTATTAACAAATGGCCAAGTTATTGTGATGCTCTATTTCTTTGCCTCCTTTTATTTTATTTACTTATAGAAGAAGAAATTTCATGAGAAAATAGTATAAGATCAGAGGATACTTTATGATCCTAAAAGAGAGTTAAAAAAAAAAAAATAACAGCCAAATTAAACATTTAATCTAAGTAGAACTTGTCAGTCTCGTTGCATATCCACCAAAGACACTCCTCTAATGTAGGTGTGGCTGGAGCACCACAAAAATGCTAATAAAACCCCTTCATCCCTTAAAAAAGATGCCAATGTAATGCAAGTACATATCACTGAAGATTTTAGCATCCCTCAGTTAAATCATCAAATAGCAGCAAATATTGCACTCTCAAAGGTCCTTTCCTTCCTTAGATCACTTCCCAAAATCTTTTTTTTTTTAAATAAAAAAAATTATCTTGTTTTGTTTTCTCTTAAAACTGACGCTAAGTAACAATGCATCAAATTAGTTATTGTTATTTAGATAATTTTCTCTCTGGCTCCTGTGTAGTGTAGCTTTTTAAATCTTTTTTTGGGCCAGGGATTTGAGCTAGAGTGGGGAAGAGGATAGCCAGTTTTCAATCTGTGGTCTTCTTTGCTTCAGAAAGTAAAAGGTTTTTTTGATTGGTTTCTATAGGTTTGGCACCGGAGAACATTTCAACCATCAGGACTTTTTGCTGCTCGAGTTGATTTGCAAGGCTCCACCCAAGTATGCAGATTATTTAGAAAAAGATATTATAATTTATTTGCTTTGTTTGATGGATAGAGATTGTTTTGGTTGTTAATACCTGGTACATTATTGTATATTGGTATTGATCATGCAGGGCCTGCATGCCCTTTTCACAGGAGAAGATGATAGCTGGGAAGCCTGGCTAAATGTTGATGCTTCTGGCTTTTCTAGTTTTGTTAATTTTACCAGAAATGCAATCAAGCTAAGGCGTGGCTACTCCCCATCAAATTCACCAAAACCAACCCAGGTGTTCTGCTTTTTTCTCCCTTCACACTATAAAGTATACCATAGGTATAGATAATCAGCCATTACTAGAGCTCCTCAATCTTTCCATAGGTGGACGTGGATGATACATCCTAATTTTGCTATGTAATTGTATTTTCTACAATTCCTGTGATTAATGAGGGGTTGTTTTGCTGACATACATATTTTGTAGTTGTGTCAACCATGCCCTTATTTATCAATTATTCTTTAATACATATTTTATTATAGAAAATCGAAAACTGTATCATATTCAAAATTGATGACAATTGGAATGGGCAAATTTTACTATTTTTCTTGTAATTACAATATTTTATTTTGAACTTGTTTTGGTCGCCAATATCTCTCATCTTGTATTTGTATTTGTATTTGTATTTGATTTCATATTGTAGATGATCTTTAGTTAATAGTTGAATAAAATAGATGTTCCTTCTTTCTGGAAGAACATAAATAGATATCAATCCTATTGTTATTAACTTATAACTTTTAATAGGATGAATTAAGGCAGCAGAAGGAGGAGGAGATGGATGATTACTGTTCGCAGGTATGTTACAGAAAATCAAGATTATGATCATCATTATACTTAAGTCTCTCACTAGTCTCCTTATGTTCTTATTAATCTATAGGTCTCCATACATTTCTGCTGACACCTGGAACTCTTTTTGTTTTATCATTTTCAAAGAAACTGAACTTGATCATATGGTACAGCTTCCCCCGGCCCTAACTTGGTTTGCTTGATATCGATTGCATGTTTGTAGGTTCCTGTTGGGCACTTGGTATTTATGGTTCATGGGATTGGTCAAAGATTGGAAAAATCTAATTTAGTAGATGATGTGGGCAATTTTCGGCATATTACAGCAAGTCTTGCAGAGCAGCACCTTACTCCACACCAACGTGGCACTCAAAGGGTCCTCTTTATCCCATGCCAGGTACCTGATATGTTGTTCTCTGTGTGTTTATGTGTGTTCATGACAGCTTTCTGTTTCTCCTCTGTTTAGATGTCTTTTAGAATGTCCCCCTTTTCTACAAAATTAAGCTGTTTATCACTATGATGTTTCATTTTGGCACATCGTACCTTCTTTTGATATCACGGTTAAAATTCAAACTGATTGTGTGCTAATCCATAGTGACTAAATTGAGATTTGTATCATAGATCCGAAGACCTGTTTCCTGAATCGTGGCTTGTACCGAATACTAAGAAACTTGCATCAAATCCCAATTTTGAGCATTTGTGGTGCTGATAGATTTTTGTTTCCTGGAGCTATGCCATGTGTTTAGATGAGAAGTACTTATGGTAATTTAGACAGCATATATAATGAATGCTGGAATTACTTTTGGTAGAATTGGAATCAAGTCTGAACTTGGCAATTATTTTTGTTCCATTTGTTTTCTTTTAAGATGATATGTTGTTCTCTCCAGTAGCAAGCTGCACAATCTATTGTCTGTCAGACAGAGAAATATCCTTGAAATAGCCATAAGTTGAACACCAAAGAGACACCATTAACATAATCCAATCTCATTGCATGTTTAGGTGCAAGGAGAAATCCTTTTAAAAATGTGAGCATTTCACTCCAAACAAATGCTTCAAATGTGTGCATAAGAGCGCACTGCAATTTTTGCCAAAACCTTGTACCTTCAGTTATTGAATTTGCTAATGTTAGTTATAATCTTTCTTTTATTTGACTTTAGTTAATTGATGATTTCATGTTATCTAGTGGAGGAAAGGTTTGAAGCTGAGCGGTGAAACGGCTGTTGAGAAAATAACTTTGGATGGAGTGCGGGGCTTGCGTGTCACGCTAAGTGCAACTGTTCATGATGTGTTGTACTACATGAGCCCAATTTACTGTCAAGACATAATTGACTCGGTATTGTGGTTGTGTGTACTGCTTTCATTGTTTTTCTTAATCTTCCTTTAAATTTTTATCAGTTCTTGTTATTTCAATTTTTTCCTATTTTTCTTCTATAATTTTGACATCTGTATTGCACATAAAAAATATGAAGAACATCTGTATTTCAATATTTTGCATCTGATTATGTGTCACTAGCATTACACTACAGTATCTTAGACGCTCAAAGAACTATGTAATTGCTATTATTCTTTCTTGAGAATGCATCTTATCCATTGTTATGCTGTTCTCCTTCTCTCTCTTGCTGCATTGAAAATGTCTTAAAATGGGGCTAGTGGTTGTGGTGGCAGATGTAGTGCTGCCTCTGCTGTCCCTGTGAGTGGGAGGTTCTAAAATTCACAAGAATGCTTCTGGAAATAGGACTGATGCGGTGTAGAAGAATGGTATTTCAGTTGATAGAGATGCCAGAAAAATTAGATGAAAATATTGTCACGAGATGATAAACTGGATTTACTGATTGAAGCAACATTTGGCAGGAACATAAAAGGATATTGGAGCTTGTAAATCTGTTAGTGATGAAGTAAAGGATATTGGATATTGGTGAAAAAAAAAAAGGAAGGAAGAGGTTGAGAGCTCTGGAAATATTTTGAAGTGAATGGGAGTAAGCACTCAATCCACATCAATAACATTTTTAAGAATTTGAGAGAAGAATGCCAAGGAAGAGCTTCTTTATGCTATTGTATATGAATATAACTTTGTACCCTAAACGCAATCTTACGATTCGTATTATGATCACACTATTTACGTGTTCCTCTCTCTTTCAGATCCCGGGTAGGATCTTGATTTTGACTACCATGTTGATTCTTGCTTTAATTTCCTATAGGAACTCGACATTTTAAGAGCTTAAAAGAGTTTGACTTTTGCGAAACCCGTTGCATGTGAATGCTTGTTTCTGGACCTATTTTGCAATTGCAAAAATTGCACTAAAAAAAAAAAATCTACTTTGCATTTTACAATTGCTTACAACTACACTGCAGAGATATCCAATTTTTAAAAACCAGATGCAAATGACATTCTCATTTCCTTTTTCTTAGGAGTTGGATGGGTTGCTTTGAAAATTTAGACATTATACTATTAAAAAAAAAGTTTTTGTTTTGACCAGTGAATTTACACTTTTCTAGGTATCCAACCAACTGAATCGACTATATTTGAAGTTTCTCAAGAGGAATCCTGGATATGATGGAAAGGTATGCTAATAGTGAGAAAATTTGCGTCATTTTTCCTCTCTGCATTTTCAATATTTATGTTGGTTCATTCTATGCTGAGTTTTGTGTAGATTTCATTATATGGACATTCTCTGGGAAGTGTCCTCTCATATGATATACTCTGCCATCAAGATAATCTGTCATCCCCATTTCCAATGGATTGGATGTATAAGGAACATGCTGAAAATGAGGAATCACTCCCTGATAAGAAAAACCACAACTTTCAGCACTCATCAATCGATCAGGATGACACATTTGGCATGGTGAGCCCCTCTGATGTAAAGAAGAGTACGCAACCGACTTCAGAAATGGAGGCAGACACATTAGGCATGGTGAGCCCCTCTGATGAAAAGAAGAGTACGCAACAGACTTCTTCAGAATTAAACCCTGTGTTATCAAGTGTACACAAATTTACTGCAGGATCTAACTCTCTGAAACCAAGTAATGAGGGAGATGTTTCTGAGTTCCTTTCTGATTCTAGTGACATTCTTTTTGAGAAAATGGGTGCATTGGATAAGCGTGAGAACATGAATGTTGGGCTACCAATGGAGCCATTGGCTAATGAAGAATGTGAGTGTACAAGCAACAAGGATGAAGTTATCTCGAAGCTCAGGGAAGAGGTTAGTTTCCAGTTTTGTCCTTTTCCTTTTCTTTTTAATCTTTTGTTTTTCATGGATTTTTCTAGACCGTTTTCTCCTTTCAAGAAAGTTGGAGGGATTTTGAGAAGCCATAAAACACAAAATCACCCTTAGTATTAACACTATTCCTTTCCTTAAAGATGAAGCAAATTAAAGTAAAAAATAAAAAAATATCTATTTTATAAAACAGAATATTATTTTTTATGTTAACCAAGCTTTGATTTAGAATCATAAATTATACCACTGACAGACAAAACATGACATGATTCAACCTATGATATGACAAGATCCACATGGCCACATGTACTGGTTACACAATGAAAAGAAAAATTCATGATAAAAGTCCGACGCATGAAGCTGTTTACTAATTCAGCAAAGCTAATGCATAAACTATCCCCTAATCTGCTTCCAATAAGTTAATCACATGTGGGTGCACAATGCAGAGGGGTATATGTACATATTGTGTGACTTAGTAACTGGGAAGCAGTAATCAATTGGGTTTGGTGTGAACATATACTACATATGTAGGGTGTACATGGAACTCTTAGGAAGTACTGAAATCCTCTTGTAGTACTACATTACCCCTACTACTGTCATTAACCGCCTTTAATCCTTTATATGTTGCCTGTAACTGACAGTTTATTTTTTTAGATTGATTCATTGAAAGCCAATCTAGCTGAACAATCACGTTGTGGCGATGGTCATACCAAAGAAGAGTTGCATTCTGGTTGTTACTAGTTTTTTTTTTTTTTGTCGTTTTAAAGTTTAAGATGTTTTCTATATTCATTTTGATTGTTAATTTATAAATCAAAGCAAATAAGGATGTTTACATGCTTGTGGCAGTACGGCAGCTATCTAAAAAGCTACCTTCTAAACAAGATGCACCAAGGAGTTGTGCTCCATATATCAAGTACACAAAGCTTCAATTCAAGGTTTGCAAACAAATAAGAACTTTGTTTTGGGCATGTACAACTCTATATATGTTTTTATTGATATACGCGTTTCCTTTAGTATTTTTAACAGACACATCTCTAACAAAAGATAGGTCATTAATAATTTCCATAGCAAATGTGACACAGTATATATCTTGTTGCTCACATGACTAATACTGCATTCATGCCAGGTTGATACATTCTTTGCTGTTGGATCCCCTCTTGGTGTATTTCTTGCACTTCGTAATATCCGAATTGGGATTGGTAATAATTTCTTAGCATGTCTTATGTATATGATTAATGATATTATAAATTTTACGTCTGATCTTGATAGATCTTTTTGAAGATGTTCCTTTTACAACGTAGCACATTATCCACTTTATTTCCCCATTTTGATGAACCACTTGTACACCAATGTATGACTTAGAGACCCTAGCAATAGTATGCAAATTCTGTATTAGAGATGGCATGCAATATTTTGTCTTACAGGTTTAATTTATTTGCTGGGGATTTTTTATACTTTCTGTTTTTCTCTTATCCCGGATGCTCATGCTTTGACTTTAGATCCTTCAAGAGATTTTATCTTTAAATCCTTATTTCAGATTTTTATTTCTAATCTTTCTCCACAGTATTCATTAACTAATTCTTTTCGGAAGATCAAAATTCCATGATAAAGCAATTGTTTGGACAGCTGTCTTAATAGGATTAACTCGAGTGATTTGTAAAGATGCATAAACCTCTTTTTGCAATGTGAATCTTTGGCATTTTGCTCTTTTCCAAGACTCTGGTGTATTTGGCTGGAGGTAGCTCATATGTTTCGTCTGTAAATTTTTTCCTCTACTTCTGTTATGAAGCACACTTGTTTTCTTAGCTTCATTATGATTTTTATGCACATTGTTTAATAAGGATATTTCTAGGCCAAGCATTCAAAGGCCTATTTTTTCTAAGTTTCTTTCCTCTGTAGTTCTTTGTGACCTTAGGAAGATTCCTGATTCTCAAGTTTTATGCTTTTTTTTTTCCTTCATAAATTCTTTTATGTAAATTTTTTTGTGACTGATCAGCTTGCAAAAGTATCTTTAGCTTTAAGTCGAATAATATCTGATGAAGTTGTACTTATAATCAGTATAATTTAAGCCCAATTTTTTATCGTATTCTTATAATGATTGATTTGGAGGAGTTTCTATTTCCGTTTGGCTGGAGTGTGGTTCATACTTCTCATGATTGATTTTATGCATATTGGTTTTATAAGGATATTTCTAGGCCAGATATGCATAGGGACTGGGTTTTGACTGACCGGGTTCCAAAAGTATGTTTAGCTTAAAGCTGAATAATATCTGATGAATCTGTACTTACGCTCAGTAGAATTTAAGCCAGCTTCTTTATGATGTTCTTCTCATGATTTATTCAGAGGAGTTTCCGTTTCGGTTTCTGATATTCACCAAGATCTGTGAAACTGGATAGCCTTTTTGCATGTTTTATTCTCCTTGATTCTTTGTTCCCCTTTTACTTTTTCTTTTCTGGTGAATATCTTGTCTTCCCAGTAGTGTACTTTCTCCCCTCTTCTTTTGACTATAATTTCTTTTTCTGTTTTTAAAAAAAATTGTATACTTCAATAGGCTATGGCTATGATCAGCTTTCGCTATGTGTGCTTTTGAACTTTACTTCCATTCATTTTCATTTGACTTTATTAGATTAAGGCTAGAATTTATAAGTATAATGTTTTTCAGAAAAAAAAGGTTATAATGTAAGTGCCAGTCACTTAAAACGTCCTGTTTTTAATCATAATACACATCTAAAGTTGATAACTATATTTTATTTCTTGTTCATTCCAGGCAGAGGTCAAGAATATTGGGAGCAGGAAAATATAAGGGAAGAGATGCCAGCTTGTCGACAGATGTTCAACATTTTTCACCCCTTTGATCCAGTAGCATACAGGTTTGCCGTAATTTCAGCCCCTTTTACCTTTGCAACCAGTTGATTTGTATTGTTTTCCCCTGATTGTTTTGATGCTCTGGTTCTTTATGTTTACTAAATTCTTATGGTCTTAGAATATGTCTCTTGATCTGTTTCCTTATTTTATTATGTTTTAGTGTTTTTGTTAATGGACTTGGGCTTGTACTAGTTGCACTAGCACTTGACCCAGTTATTAGTATAAATAGGAGTTTTAGGATAAGGTATGTTAACATATTGTATTCCAAGAATATATTCAGTGTTACTTTTTTGCTGTCATTCTCTCTTTTCTGCTCCCCTACCCTAAACTATAATTTTTTAACACAGTATAAGTTAGCATGTGGAGTGATAGATACTGATTCAAACATGGCTTTGCTAATCATTTCTTTTTCAAAATTCTGTCTGATATTTTGGAAGAAATATGTATGAGATTTTAGATGCTATTTTATAAATTCACTACAGGATAGAGCCACTTGTCTGCAAAGAGTACATCGGCAAACGCCCTGTTTTGATTCCGTATCACAGAGGAGGAAAAAGGTTGCATATTGGATTTCAGGTGAGGCAACAGAGATTCTAGTACTATGTGATTGCATTGAACCGTTATATCTGTCTCCAATAATCCCCTAAATCTTGGTGTAGGAATTTACTGAAGATGTAGCAGTTCGCACTCAGGCAATGAAGGCTTATATGAAATCTGCAAGTGTGAGTTCCTCTTTTTTGTATACAAAAAATAACTAAGTGTTAAAGCTGACAAAAAGTTTAAAGGTGAAGCAAGAAGACTATGGATTTCAATTATAATTCTAAAATATCTTTTAGAATTTATTATTATTATACTTTAGCTTTTGATATTTTTTGTGAATTTCACATGGAATATATGTAGACATATTAATTTTTATTATCATTATTTAATAAGAAAGAAAAGATTTTATCAGGGAGAGAAATTACATATATCCCCCTTTAGCAATGCAAGAACGAGAAATCAAGGAAGCAACAAAGAGAAACATCAATGCCTCTGATCTCTTTGCAAATCTGTTTGGGACTTTTCCTTTACTCAAAGGCCGGCCATAAAACAATTTAGTCATAACAAAGATTAACAATTGAGTTGCGTCCTTGAAGATAAGAGTATTATGGTGCAGCCAGTTACACCTTAGAACAGAAAAGTAACAAATCTTCATAAAGGCCTTCACTCCATAGTCCATAGTGATCAAGAAGGAAGCGTGAAAGGACTAAAAGAACGGTGTTCAATATTGTTCTGGTAGACGACCTGGAACCCATTTGGTGAAATCTCAGGAATCAATCAGAATGCAAAGAAAATCATTGGAAAAATATTGATAACAGAATACGATAAAAAATAAAAAACATTGATTACTGAAAATAGGGTTGTGTTCAGCTCGTAAGGGAGAAGTTTTTTTGTGGGCCTGGACCATGGTAGTCCCTCCCCAAAATAGAAAAAAAAGGAGGGATTGAGGGGGGGGGGGGAATCAAAAAAAGAGGGATAGAAATGGAAGAAAATTTTCCATTTAGGGGAAAGGGACCACTGTATAAGTAGTGGGTCTGGAGCATATTAATTTTTCCCTCATAAGGATAGCTTTTTTCTTTTACGGTCGGCTCGCTACACCTGATCCCAGCCCTCCTCCTTTACCTTCGCTTGGAACAAGCTATTTTATTTTATCTTATTTTTTATTTACTATTATTATTATAATTGTTTGTTTGTTTATTTCTTTTCCTTTTTTTCCTCAATCTTTTATTGTGTTTTTGGATTTATTGACTGCTGACCCAACTAGTTTGAGATAAAGGTGTTGCTGATGTTGAAAATATGAGTTGTGTCTTATTTGACATCTGGCAGGCCTGTCCATAGGTTTGATAAAATTAGATTGACAAGTAACTAGAGTATGCAATCTTTCCTAATCCATGTAAGTTACGTTTGATGCATATTGAAGGACAGTATAAATAGAACAGTATAACACTAGTGGTTCAGTCGTAGTATAATTTTTTGTTTTGTTAGTTGTTTGATGACCAATACACATGACTAAAGATTGTGATATCCATGGATTGAATAAAGAAAAATTCATTATAATAATACCCTTGAAAAAATGAAAGGGTAGGGATTATTGGTCCTTTTCTTTTTTTGTGTTGTGAACAAGATTTCGTAACTTGTTTTAGTGGGTAACAAAAATTAGAGATTTGTGTTGTCCCTTGAAGTCAATCAAAGGAATAAAAGATGTATATAGCTGAGATATGAAATTCTAATGACTTACATGGGTAGCGTTGACCACTAGCTTGTGCTCAACCACTCTAATTCAGTTACCTAAAAAAAATTACTTTAAACGTCTTACCTAAGCCTAGTTTCCCCTTTTCTTGGTTACACCAGAGGTTTGGCTACTTATCAAATGCTCCTCTTCAATTCAATCATCTACAATTGGCCAAAGATCTTTCATTATATTCTCTTATCTGCTACTCTTTTTGGAATCTTAAAGGAGGAACGAAAGTAAAGAGGGATATATGTTAATTGTTGTTAGACGAAAATAATACAACCACCTAAGGAGAAGATGTTGATTGTGGCCACCGTAGTGGTGGTTAAGTTTAAAAGTTAAATTTTAAGTTGCTTAATTTTGATAGCTTACTAAGTTACTAGCTTTAGAGTGGAGTTCAGGACTCGGTATTTTCATTCAGATTAATATTTCTTAATATGAATAAAAACTTAGTAATAAGCCAAATGTAGTACATGTAAAAGTGTTGTAACTAGCCCAGCTCAATATGGAGAACACACAATATATTTGTAAAGAACCAATTCAATCAAGGTCACATTAATATTTTTGTATTATATTTTTCTAACAAGCCCCCTCACAAAGAGTCCATTGGGATTGAAGGGTAGACAGTGTACAGGCCCACTGATATGTGTTAAGAAACTCTACAATATTTAATTATTTATTAATAGAATGGGTAGAGATGAGAATCCAACTTGTGACCACTTGGTTATAGAGGCTCTGATATAATGTCAAAAATCATTTCAACCCAAAAGTTTAAGTTGTTAGGTGAAGTCAACATTAATGGTTTTATATCATATTTCTCTAATAATAATATTATTCCCAGACATGCAAACTTATAATTGAAACTGAGAAGCACAGAATTTATTTTAGGTATGCCAGATTGAACTGAATGCGCACACACTTATGATATTTGAGTTTTTAGTCTTGTGCATGGTGATGATTATTTCTCTTTTCTATGCAGGTTAAGATACTCACAGTTTGTCAATCAAGAAATATGGAGAACATAGAAGGTAATTTAGGCTTCGAAGTTTGTTTTCATTTGATAACGTCTTTTTTATGAATTTCAAATTCATATAATGAGTTTGAGAATGCTGATCTTTTTAGAACACTGATGTTGTAGCTGTGAAAATGGATATTGTAATCTGTATGGCCTTTTCCACTTGCATTTTATTTAGAAGTGGCTTTTCTTTTCACAGACTTGTGAAGGTACTTGATATTGTGCTTTTCCTGTTTTGCTTTTCAGAGGAGGATGTCTTGCCTTACTGTATTTTACTTTCCTTAAGGAGATGGACTCCCATAAACCCAGAGAAAAAAAATAAAATAAATAAACAGTAACAATTCTACTGGCACTGGGTAAATAGGTTGTAGCTCTTGTAGGCAGTAATTTTCATTGACTGACTTTTTGGGTAAATAATTATGTAAGACACAAAAAACTGGATATGTTGAACAGTGTTGTTAAGGAAGGAGGACACAAGAGACTTTTGGTGAAATCCGTGTGTCTAAACTATATAATAAATACTAGATTATATAGCCAAAAAATAATAAATACAGATATCATGGTTATCCCAACCATAATTACACGATTCTAATTAGTGTATGCAATGAACCTAAACACCATTTACATGGTTTCCAACAATTGTTGTGCTAGATATGTAATTTCCTCTTCTTTTACATTTTATTTTATTATTATAAAGTGGGTAATACGTTTGTTTATGTTTATAGTTTGTTATTCCGTGAAAATAGTACCAAACTTATATTTTTTTAAACCTAATGGGCATGCTTGCCAAATTCCACACTTAACTTTTTAACAGTATTATTATATTTATATTAGCTCTGGCTATAACATTTTATCTAACTCATAAAATTAAATCTTACTGTTTGCTTTATCTTTTATTTAATTTTTGTTCCTAATGTCAATATATGTGTATGCATCTATGGTTTTGGTTGTAAAATGTGTATTATAAATAACATTAAAAAAAAAATCACTCTCCGTTAAACCCAACTAGCGAGTGTGGGGTGGAGGAAATCCTTGTACGCAGCCTTACCTTTGTATAATTGCAAAGAGGCTGTTTCCTGGATTCGAACCCATGACCTTTCAGTCATGAAGGAACAGTTTTACCACTGTTCCAGTTCGCCCCCTTTATTATAAATAACATAGCAATACCAAAAAAGTTACGTGTTTGATTCCGTTTTGACAGCTTCAAATAGTCTTTGGGTAGTTAAATTATTTATTTTTTCTTAATTAATCCTGCAATATATATGTGACAATTGTCCCCTTGTATTTTTGTTCAATTTCTTGCCTACCTGTATTGTAGGAGAGAGTTCTGAAGAAGAGGAAGAGACATCATATGGATCTTTTATGATGGAGAGGTTGACAGGAAGCACACGCGGACGAATTGATCACATGCTTCAGGTATGAAGTTGTTCCAATTTGCTACTGATCATGTTGGTCCAGCACTTTGGTTCAGAAGTATTGTACAAAATGAGTACACACGTACTGGTTTATAAACATTTTGGTGCTAAAAACTAAGTATATTATTGTATATATGTATAAATTCAATTTGAAATGAAGACAACATTATATCCTTGGATATACCCTATGCTGCCTTCCTATTCCGGGACCAGTCAAACTGCATAAATATGAAGCCAGTGTAATGAGTCTAATGGCTGATCTTATTTTGTATCGAGTCATGAGTCTCCAGTCACTTGGTTGAATAAATTCATGTTTGCCTCAGCAGGAACAAACCCTACAGGCAGGGACCTGGTGATACAAAGGTGTCTGAAGTGATGTTTATCTCACTTTTCAATCTGTATTTTTGATATTTTATTGCTAAAATAAATATTCTTCAGTCTTTTTTCCTTACCACCACCTTATTCTGGTTGCAAGGTGCTTCCCTGCTTCTTTCCGAAGAGGTCTTGGTATTAACCAGAAAATGCATGCAACTATGATAAATAGAAAATTCAAATTTTTGTAGCCAAAATTAATATAGGAGAAACGTGTTTTAAAGGAAATGGGACTATCCATAACTGGTTTCTTTACAGCTAGTGGCCGCCTATAGTTGCATTTTTGTCCAATATAATGGCCTTTTTTTTGTAATTAATTTGACTTTGTCTTCGTAATGCAGGATAAGACCTTTGAACATCCATATCTGCAAGCCATTGGATCACATACGTAAGTGTATTTAAAATTGCACATTCTCATAGTCATACTATCGAGATCATAGTTATTGGAACAGGAGCCAATGAGGCAACTAGGTTATTGGTTGGATTGTTAGGTCACCATTCGAACTGATCATTTTTTAAAATTAATACTTGTGTCACCTTGTGGTCGTGGATTCAAATGACAGAAACAATCTCTCTGCTTATGGGAGTAAGACTGGGTACATCGTTCCTTCCTAGACCCCCCAATGTTGGGAGTCTTGTGCACGGGACCATCCTATTAATATATTTAAATTTTAAAATTAAAATAATAAACAATATGTTTAGAAACATAGTTTATTAATGAAAATGTACGTATTACATTACATAATTTTTTTTGGAAAAGTATAATTGTAATAGAAACCAATGGTGAGGGTAATCCTTGTACGTAACCTTATCCTTGCATAATTGCAAAAAGACTGTTTTCAGGATTCAAATCCGTAATTTTTCAGTCACAAAGGATCAGTTTTATCACTGCTCTAGGTTTTCCTTTTTTTTTATTAACTTAATATAATATATAAAAAGAAGAAGATATATATATATATATTTTTTTTTTTTTTTAAATAAGAAAGTTATATATAGTTACAAATAAATTCCTCTATTACTCCTGGATCCAACTGCGTGGTTGAGATGGCTCAATTGCTGGGTCACAGCGGGTCATATGCAAGACACAGTCCTTTATAGAATCGGACACAATGCGGTGGCTGGGATGGGATGGTTTGGTCCTACGATCTTGTGAATCAGTATTGTTGCTCAGCATAGTCTATGCCCTGCATTTGTTAGGATTGGTGCTTGTTCCTGCCCCTCTTCTTTTTTTCAGTATGCTTTGTTATTCTCTGCATTTTCTTGTGGACACTAAGAAACTTTCCTTCCTGGTTGTCCAACAATGCAATGTCGTATCCTTTGCAGCTCGACTATATTAGATTTAGAAAGCATATCTAACAGAATATTCTCGATGCACTTTTCAAAATTTGATATATATGAAGAATTAATGACGAGTACTTAACTCAGATGGTCTGGTGGTTGGCCGTTTGGGTAGAAGTTCAACTCTTAGTGTACCAAAAAAAAAGAGAGTAAAATTTGATATGCGTGGGTTTCCAGCATATAGCCATTATCATGTCTTCGTTGCTGCTAGAAAGACATGGAGGATGCATGGTTAATATATTGGATAGGGAAATATGTTTTGAAGCTTCAGTGTTGGCTTTTTCTATTATCACAATAACTGATTTCTGACTGAACTGCCATTGATTTCACATGTTTGTTTTTATAACTGTCATGATTAATCTTTCTATCTGGTGGACAGAAACTATTGGCGGGATAATGATACTGCTCTTTTCATATTGAAACACTTGTATCGAGATATACCAGAAGACCCCAACTTGTCAATTGTATCTAGCGGGGCAAACTTGAAATATGAGAGTAGTTCTGCTGGTTGGTATGATCAAAGAGACACTGTTGAGGAAGATCTTCCTTTGACTTTCTCTGACAATGTTATGGTCAGAAACTTCTCAAGCAAAGCTAAGAAGATTATGGAGAAGCGCACTGCTTCTAGTTTCTAAACGCATGGCTTGTGTTGTAACCATGTCAAGTCTGCTCTCCCATTGTATGGCACATGCTGAGATGAGATTTCCATGCATCCATCGTTGCTGTTATCGCCTCTACACAGTGTAAATTGAGATTGTGTAATTTATCAAAGAATGTACGCTAGCAGGATTGTCCATCTTAGGGTTGTTTCATATGGCTGGCTAGTGTAGTTGTTAAATTTGTCTATATTCCAATGTACATAACAATAAAGCAAAAAATAGAAGTCGTCCCTGTACCATCTGACGGTTAGTATCAAATTAGAACAACTGTACAATCCTAGTCCAAGTAAAATAAGATGCAAAAAGGTTGTTTTGTTCCTCTTTGATCTGGGAATTATAATGAAATGTTTTTCTATTTGGAATCCATAAGAGTTTCACCTGTGTATGACTATTTATACTGCAAGAGTAAAAAGAAAAGGAATTGAAAAAAATGACATCAATTTGTGGACAATACATTCATGAATAAGGAAATTTTAAATACTTACATCCGAATAAAAATACCTTTTCCTTGCCGATAATTTCTTCAAGGAAATGTGAAGAAAGCGAGAGAAACCCACAAAATTGAAAACATGATGAAGATCCTAAACTACAGCAATTGTAAAAATATGAATTCTTTGGAATAAGTTATACATGGCCTTTGAATATTTAAATTCCTCACCAAGCAGGAGGCGTTCCCCTCGGTCCATTCTAGGGGCATATTCCTAAGTCCATTTCATGACAGTATGCTTTATTTACGATGACGGTATGCTTCGTAACTCATACAATCTGATACAAAATTGGTACTATGTTCCTTACAAAGTTCTTGCATTCATAACTTGAATTGTTCCAGAAACTGTTTGCGCTCGAACAGTCTGTTTCTTTTACTTTTTTCGTTTTGCTTCCTGTTTCTTTTTCTTTCCTCTCCTATCTCTGGTATCATACTACGAAGAAAGATGTACATGTGCATACAACTGTACAACACATACGTAAGAACAAATTTCAATTATAAAGAACCAAAAACATAACAAATTTCAACACACATGCATTGTCTATTGATCTGTTTGCAAAGTCAAATCCAGAATGATAGCCGCTATCTGGCACACGTCTTCATCTCTCCTCAAAGTCAACATCAATAATATCAGGGTCTGACTTCGATGCGGAGGTTCTTCTACCATCTCTTGAAGAGGAATCCCCTTTAGGTTGCCACACAATGTTGCCACAGCTCGTACATCGAATCATTTGGTTCTTGTAACCAGCAAATTGCATCTTACAAGCCGGACAAGTGCCCTATCCAATTACAGATGGGACATAGAATTTCAATACGAACAATGCACAAAAACGTTAAAATTCAAATGATCATGAACTAGAACGTAAAAGTGAAATCAGCAATACACTCTACTACCATAAATAACGGAAAACTCTCATCCAAAGTGAGCGAGTAAAAATATGTGTACACTTGAATTTTAGTGGGTTAAAATTATGATGTACTTCAAATTAAATTAAGGGCAGATACACAGTTATTCACTTTGGAGGAGCCTAGTCCAAAAATAACATATCCAAATAGTTTTATTTCAATGAACTTAAGTCCCTGCATATTAGCACGGATTTGAGCTTAACTAAGCTTCAATTCCAACTTATATTAGCTTCATTCTATGAGTATAGCCAAGCTAACACAAAAGTGAATGAGATGTAGCTAAAAAATAAATGGATAATTTTTATTTATTTTTTTAATTTCAAATAAAAGTAATGGAAACTAGATATAATTAATTTAGGGATATTCTTTGGTTAAATTGAAAAACTTGAAATTTTTAGGAGACTGTACAATCCGAATGTCTGAGGCCTCAGTTCAGTGTTCTGCCCCAATCTTTAATGTGGCCACCGTGTTAAATAAGGAGAAGGTTTCAAAAGATTTAATGAATTGATGAGCAAGTTCATTTTTGCAATATTTTATACTCTTAGGTCTGCTTTTCTAAAGAGAATTCGCATCCTCCTTAATTGTCTCTCTTCTTTCCTTCCATCAGTGCATTCTCTTCCCGGGGAAAAAGAAAAGAAAAGTTAGCTTTTGTCAGATGGTTTAAAATAAGAAAATATTTAGACTTCTTTCCAGGTTCAACGGAAAAAAAAAAAAAAGAGACTCCTTGTAATTGATGAACATTGTATGTACAATTTTCATTTTGTAGATACCAACTGGTATCTGAAGCCCTAGCATGCCCGATGTAACGCCCGACAACTTGCAAGAATCAATGACTATCCCTACACACTAACACGAGACTTTTCAACGTGCTTTGTCCTCACTCGCATACTTCCCGGGAAAACTTCCCAGGAGGTCACCCATCCCAGAATCGCTCCAAGTCAAGCACGCTTAACTGTGGAGTTCTTCCGATCCGGGCTACCGAAAAGTAGATGCATCTTGTTAGTATAGGTAGTACCAATTAATTCTTATAAGTCATTCCTAACTGTACCGTCCCATACCAGCACAGTCTCTGGAATCCCTCTCTTTCAGGTGTTGATTCGATTCATTCATGAACCTCCAAGCTGCAAGATTTGGCATGAGCCGCTCATTGTCCGTGCCCTTTCGCACCGGCGATCACTCCCTGCCTTTGCCAGCTATTGGGATGTTACATGCCCACCAGCTTCCGCCTGGTTCGTCCTCGAACCACACCGTACTGGATGAGAGGCCCTGCTCTGATACCACTTGTAACGCCCGACAACTTGCAAGAATCACTGACTATCCCTACACACTAACACGAGACTTTTCAACGTGCTTTGTCCTCACTCGCACACTTCCCGGGAAAACTTCCAGGAGGTCACCCATCCCAGAATTGCTCCAAGTCAAGCACGCTGAAAAGTCTCGTGTTAGTGTGTGGGGACAGTCGTTGATCCTTGCAAGTTGCCAGGCGTTTCAAGTGGTATCATAGCAGTTTCGTAGGGAATAACTGTTAGCTATTGTTAAGTATGCTTAGTGTTTGATGCTTTATAGTTGTTTTAGTACTCTTGATGATTATTGCATTTGTGATCACTAAGTGTGGGCCTGATCAACTCACTTCTTTGTGTAACATGTGTAGTGACATGACGAGGCACCGAAACAACCCCGGACCATCAAACACCAATGCTCAGCCAGAACCTGTTTCGGCTGCTCTTGTGAGGCCCAGAAGTGGCCGTGGGGCAACGGGCGTACAGCCTGATCCCGTGGCTGAAACTCTTGCAGCCGTTCAGAGGGAGTTGGCTGCTAGCAGGCAAGCCAATGAAAATCTGTTGAAAACAAATGAAGACTCGCGGAATGCTATGGCCGCGATGATGACCGAGTTGAGGACGTTGAGGGGTGCTAGGCCCGTGAACCGGCAACCCACTCCTCCTCCTCACACTGCTACGCCTTCTCCACCTCCTTCACAAGAAGAGGGTGTAGCGGGTAACAATGAAGGTGAGGCCAGTCACCATTCCGGTAGTCATAGTCATCACACTGTGGTCCGTCAACCACGTGTTGAGCATGTTGATGAACATGAAGCTGAAGAAAGACGATTGATGGCTTTTAGAAAACATAAACCTACTTCTTTCAGTGGAGGCTATGACCCCTTGGTGGCCAAAAAAATGTGAATTCCCTCTGTCTGTGGGCGCTTAAGCGCCCTGGAGCGCGCTTAAGCGCCCTGCCCGCGTAGTTTTTCAGCATACACCTGAGTTAGTAAAATTGTCATAACTTGAGCTACAAAGCTCCAAATGAGGAGCGGTTTGAAACCACGCGTAGCTAACGAAGAGATCTACAATATAGTAGAAGTTGGGAAATAAATAAGAAGTAAATTAATGGTTTAAAAATGGAGTAAGAACATGATGTTAAGCTTGGTTTATCTGATTCCGCAAAGTAATATGGTTATGATCCCGCAATTGGGCATTATAAATTCGGCATGTTTTAAAAAGAAAAGTTTATCCGGATTTTAATTGAACCCATGTGATTGTAACTGCGCTTAATATCATAATGCGATGTTAACAAACCGGTTCTAGAACGGGGTGTTACACCCGACTAATCCGATTTTGGATTTGAGACTCTCCATCTACCCTAGGTGTTGTGACTCTCTAAGAATTGAACCCACTGCCCTTTGAACAGGTCAAATCCTAGGGTGTAGCTAGGTTGCCACTAGAGCAACAACTCTTGGATACAATTTTAAGTCAGAAATTACAGAAACTATGCACATGCATGTACAGATTGAAAATGCAATAGCGATGATACCTTAATAACTAAGCTGTTGGCCAATGTCCCGATGAGAAGAGGTCCAGCAAATGGAAGCACCCATGTTGCAATTATCAGGAACCGAAAAAGCCAACCAGATAATGCGAACCAGATGAAGAAAATTGTCTGAAAAAGTAAAATTGAACGGTAACAACGGATCAAGATTGAGTACATGTGAAATGGCTAAAGACAAGGAAAAATGTTATATACCCAAAATCAAATATCCCACATGTTGTATACTTGCAACACACACACACATATCCCACATGTGTGTGTGTGTGTAAGAAAAAAGAAAAGGGCATGATAGAATTGGAAGGTATTTCAAATAAGTTAAAAATATTTGATATGTACACAATATTTTAGGGGCAATGGTTGAGTATTGGAATTGGGTTTGTAGAAAGGCTTGAATGCATAGTGTAGAGAGAATGAAGCAGCAGATTAGGAATATACTTACTGCAAAGCTCCTTCCGAGTGGACTATCGACAAGCTTATTGAGCTGCATCCTGTACTGCAAAAACAAACAACACAATACAATACAATACAATACGAGAAAGTGAGTGGTATGGTATGTACAATTTAGAATTGAAAATAGAAAAAGAAGAGAAGATACGTTGGGCCAGTTTCTAGAAAAATCGATGGTGAAAGCACGCCAACGGAGTCCAATCTCAAAGTCACGATCAATCTCGCGTGCTCGGTGAACGGCGGAACTGGCAACGGAGTTAAGACGGTGCGAGACGGAATAACGGCGGTCAATGCGCTCGGCAGTCTTCTTGGCTTCAAAGAGGAAGAGTTCGAAACCATCGTTGGCAGTTCTCCACGCATCCTTCAAAACCCTATCCATATCTCTCCCATTCATACCGCCAAAGCATTTAACTCTAACAGCTCCTCCTACCATTCGGTGACGCCGACTTTGGCTTTGGCTTTGACTTTGACTTTGACGCTGTAATAATATATTGGGTTTGGGTGGAAGATGCAGAGGTTTCCACGGCACACGCAGTGATGTGGCCGCCATCTCAATTCAATCGAATCGAATCGAATCGACCTTTCTCTTCTCTTCTCTTCTCTTCTCTTCTGTAATCAGTAGTTATGTTCACGGTACTCATATATATTCCCTTACCCATTATTTATTAATATTTAATATTAATATTAATAATAAAGATATATATATATATATATATGGTACATGTGCCTGCCACGTGTAGGTTGTCATGACTCTCATTCTATTCTATTCTATTCTATCCACCAAGGTCCAAGCCCAAGGTAATAATAATATTATAAATACATACACATATAATGGATTGGAGAGGGATCGATAACAAAACGAAAAAATCCGATCTATGAAGATGGCAGGGAAGCAGCTTATGCATGCGGTTCAATACGATTCCTATGGTGGAGGTGCCGCCGCCTTGAAGGTAACCAACCACTCCCTCACCTCACACTCAGTTAATTATTGCTTGAATTGGTGAATCTGATTGAATAATTTGGCAGCATGTTCAAGTTCCAGTCCCCACTCCAAAGACAAATGAGGTTTTACTGAGATTGGAAGCAACCAGTATCAACCCTGTCGATTGGAAGATTCAGAAGGGTGTTCTCCGCGCTTTGTTTCTCCCTCGCAAGTTTCCCCACATTCCTGCTACTGATGTCGCCGGTGAGATTGTTGAGCTTGGACCCCAAGTCAAAGATTTTCAAGTTGGCGACAAAGTCGTTGCTAATCTCACTCATTCTGTAATTCTCTCTCTCTCTCTTCATTTCTATTCTTTCAAACACCAAACTTGATGCTCTTGATGCTCTTTGTTAATCTCTAACTAACACGATGCACCTAATCTGTATTTTTTTGAACCTGTTTCACCCTACACTTGGGGATAATAATACACTTAGTAAATTCTACAACTAGATCCCAAGATCATCCGGTCACGAGGCAGCAACCTTCCTTTGAGTTGAGTCAAAGCTCACCCTCTCTTAATTGCATAATAATGATACTTCATTGCTTCTTTTTCTTTTTAACAAATTAATAGCTCCTTGAATTGAAGTCATCGTGTGTCTGTCTGAAATTGAGTAGAACATACGAAGATGTCACATGGTTTCTACTGTGAAATTAAATGGCATCTTATTATGTTACGAGTTTAGAACCTTGACCAATTCATATGCCAGTACATTACTATTCATAATGGTTTTCTATCATGTATCCATTCTGTGTTGTTTATGTTGAATGTCATGACAGTATGGAGGTGGACTGGCTGAGTTTGCTGTGGCTAGCGAGAGCTTAACGGCTGCCAGACCGTCTGAAGTCTCAGCTGCTGAAGGTTCGGGTTTACCTATAGCTGGCCTCACAGCTCATGATGCCCTCACTCAAATTGCTGGAGTCAAGCTTGATGGGACTGGCCAGCCCAAGAACATTTTGGTGACTGCTGCTTCGGGTGGTGTCGGTCAATATGCTGTTCAACTGGCAAAACTAGGGAACGCCCATGTGACAGCCACTTGTGGGGCTCGTAACATTGAGTTTGTTAAGAGCTTAGGTGCTGATGAGGTTCTTGACTACAGGACTCCGGAGGGGGCAGCACTGAGGAGTCCATCTGGTAGGAAATATGATGCGGTGGTAAATTGTACAACTGGAATACCTTGGTCAACTTTTGATCCTAATTTGACTGAAAAGGGGAAGGTCATCGATTTAACGCCTGACTCAAGTTCATTGATGACTTTTGCCTTGAAGAAACTTACTTTTTCCAAGAAGCAGATGGTGCCTTTTTTCGTAACTGTCAAGCGTGAGAGCCTGGAGTTTATAATTCAGTTGGTGAAGGATGGGAAACTAAAGACTGTTATTGACTCTAAGTTTCCTTTGAGCAAAGCTGAAGATGCTTGGGCTAAGAGCATCGATGGCCATGCTACTGGAAAAATCATTGTGGAGCCATAGGCACCGATTGCTTGGAGTTGCTGTATTTCTAAGTTTATACGTATCCCTACCCGGTTTGTGTAAAGCTCATAGAAATGAATATCCAGGCTTGTCTTGTGTTTTAAGGATTTTAAGTTCATATTTGTTGTCTTTTCACATTCTCTTGCTGGTTTGTAAATGAGAAGATGCTTTATTGTGAAACTTTTTTTCGTCTCCTACCTTGTTTTTGTTCTTGTTCTTTCACGAAAGAGGTTAAGATGAACCCCGTTCGAAATGAGCTTGGATTCATAGAACTTCACGCAATGGTGGAGGGAGGGAGTGAGGGAGGGAAGCTACCTCCTTCAACTTTGTACAAGTCTTTAGTTATGAGCAGTATCTTTGTTATTTTTGGTCATATAAACAGTAATCCTCCCTTCAAATTTTAAGAAGTCTTTACACAAATAGTTATAATTTACAAGGAATATTACACTTGTAATGTCATCATCCCCTTCACAAAATTTTCTGATTTCACCATTGACGAAGTGTTAACATTGGATCTCTAAATAATGAACAATAAGCATTCTACATTAGGGTTGGATATTTTTCAGAAAGATGCATTAGGATGGATAGAAGACAAAATTAAGCTAATCTATTTTTGTTTATCCTTTTTACTCTCTCTTTTTTTTTTAAAAAATTTCGTGCTTGCATTAGTATGTAACTGGTCGAAACAGTTAATCTCTGCTGGAGTGAAGAACTTTCCAGCACTTCGTTCAGCTGGTTTTCATGATGAGAGGACACACAGACTTTAAGAAGGAACTTCGAGTCATAAGCCAACTGCTGGTTCTTAAATTAGGGAAAAGTGGAATTCTAGGTAGGACTTATCTGCTAAACCTATCGAATCTTCTCATTTCATAAAAGATGAAAAAAGGTGAGAAATACGTGTTCGCAATCAGGGAGAAATAATGAACAATACTACCACATGCTATGTACCTAGAAAAAACTTACTTTTTTCTGTTATTTTGCTTTGATGTCTCTTAACAATTCTAAATTAAGCTACTTAGGCAAACTAGTTCTTTTGATCATAAGAACACGACGTTTCCTTCCAATCCAATAACTTGACCATGGTGGATCCCTAGATACAACTTGGTACCCTGCATTTGCGTACAATTTGCGAGCGCCAAGATCTTCTTCATAGGCTCTAAGTGCAAGAAACTCAAAACCCCACAAAATGGAAAGCATATCACAGGCTTTTAACAAAGCAGTCGCTATTTTTCTTCTCCTGTGTCATCAATCAGTTTCATAAATACACACACTTCAAAACAATACAAGGAAGAACAATGTGCTAATTATCAGATTTTACTTAATCACCTGAAAGTTTTGGAGACGGCTATTCCTGATATGTAAAGGTACTCTTCAGCTTCAGCAGGGAGATGTTGAAGCACATTTTGATCTCTTAAGACAGTGACATCTATGACACCTACAAGTTGTTCTGATGAATCTGTATCGTTTTTGGCTGGCTCAGCCACCAAACAAGCATACCTAAATAAAAAGCATGCATTAGTGGCTAATGCAGATTTGTAACGATCAATTGCAGAGTTTTCGATTTAGATACTTTTCAGCATTGACAAGCCAGGCACGAGACATGACAAAATTCATGCACTATTGTTGTGGTTGCTTATCTATTGTCATATTGTGGGTATATAAATTTCATATGAATAACATACATAAGCTTGCTTAGAAAGAACAAATTTACCTATTAGGAGGTGAGTTATTAAGCTTGTAAAGGAGTCCCGAAAGCACTTCCGCCTATTTGGGTCAACACAAAATGAAATATTAAACAACTAATATATACTTTTTAAATATATAAAAATATGTATTCTTTGATTACATTATCATTTATTCTTTTTGAAATTTGACACAAAAGATTAATACATGTAATCCCTCTTAAATTTGTTGGGGAAAAAACTTAATTTCATCTGTGGACTATAAGTATTTATTTATTAATGATAACAAGCTGTAATAAAAATATCAAAACCCCATTTTAAGCAAACTAGCAATGACATTGAAGTTTGAACCAATAACCTCTTATAAATTATCCAAGTCCCTAGGCACTAACAAATAAACTTGTATCTTCTAAGTAAGTATAGAAAAATGAAAAATGGTACGAAGGCATTGCTTCGATTGGAAAAGAAAAGGAGAGAAGCAAAACCTGAAAGAATTGGAAGAACAAGTCGTTGAAAAGGGCAACAGGCACATGGAATGCTTCGGCCTGAACTTGAGCTGCCTTCTTAATCTCATCTGCGTTCTCAATGAGTCTCCTTACCCTCCATCCATATTCACACACCAAATACTCAATCTGCTGCTTTAGCTTTCCACTACCATTCTCAATTTGTACCTTCACATTCTGATCAGCACAAGATAATTCTGAACTACTTATGCTGCTGCATTGCAACACCAAACCATTCCCACCACCATTGGTTTTCCTTCTCACTCTGTAACATGCATTTCTGGGTCCTGTTGTAACACCATACGCGAAGTTTGAGCAGATAAGTTTATGTGAAGTATTGGGGTTGCTTGCTAGTATTTGAGCCATACACAAAACCAAACAAAGAAAACAAGACAGGAAAGGTTAGGCTACATAGCTTAACTAGCTCTCTCTCTCTTTTTTTACTTTGCATTTGATTTGCTTTTGGTTGATATCACAAAAATCCACTACAAGATTCGGAGAGGGACCAGTTGGTATTTGTGTGGCCTCTCTTACTTGTGTTATTGTGGCTGCCAATCATATATATTTCGAGAGGCCACGTGCAGTCATGTAAACCAAGGAAACTATTATGTTTATTTCAATATTTCATAGTATATTCTCAATCTCAAGGATGCCCTGCTCCTTAGAAACCTTACTAATCATTACACAAAATAATTTTTAACAACCTCCCAACATGATGAAATTTATATTACATAATGTTGAATTTCTACTTCATACAAAAATATCAATTTTTTCAATTGAGAATTTAATAATATCACACTCATTCACCTACTTCCTCCATACATAATATTAACAACAACAACAACAACATAAAAAACCACATTAACTACGTATAGTTCACTAGAATAGACAAGCATTCCAAACTATGCAGACATGCAATGAAGAAGCTAATCCGTCCTGTCAACCAATTGCTTTTCCTCTATACGCAGACCTGGTTGTTTGTCATTATCATTTCCATAACCTCACATTAACCTACATTTTTCTCTATCAATCCTAAAATCAGGAGTAGTAAGCGTTTGTGCACCAAAACGACTTGGGCACATTGTACGTCGATTTTACACTAGTATATGCGGTCCTGATGATGATACTCCTATGGTGTGCCAATTATCATAAGCATCTAGCCCAGAAACAAACATACACAGACTAGCTACAATTGCTTTACGTATGTATCACTTTGGTTAAATTAGATTCGTGTCAACATCCAACTATGTATTAAAGTACATGTTCACTTTAGTCTCTGATATATGAAATGAGCAATACCATTGACTCGTTCATGTTTATAATTTTATTAAGGATTTAATCTTTCTACAATAAACGCAGATAACATTAAAAAATTATAATGAAAAATACTATTATAACCCTAAAATATATTATAATTACAAAAATACCTTAATTTTGTTGTTTTGAGCTAAATGTAGATAACTTATCTATAGAAAAAACAAATCCATTATTAATGTGACTAACGCTAACGAATTTCAAGAGACTGTAATCTCTGGCGGCCGAGTTTTTTTTTTTTTTCCCCTTTAAATAAATCATAGTTTTTCAAATCAAATAGTGGAAATACTGTGCAAGAAGATAATGAGTACACAAATAAGAGACCGTGTTATTCAATATATCATTCAACCATCTATTTTTCCAGTTTTAAAGCATAGCTGGATCAATGGGTAGTCTTACAAAAGACTGAATCTTCCATCTCCTTAGTATGTCAAAGGTTCACCTTTTTCTTGTGCGTAACGACAAAACATATAATATAGGACTATAGGAGGATGTATTGGGGCAATACCAACCTTAGGCATCGCCACCTTGAAAATTTTGTTTAGATTTCAAGGATGTTGAATTATTTTATATAGAAACTTATGTGCTTTCTTGAAATTAAGGCTTGCGTATTGTAGAGTTAAAACACTAGTACTTAAACAAACTCAAAGATTTTCATTTCTTTTATTTCCCTTCTACATTGGTGGTATTCTTGACTAGTAACTTCCCAGCACCACTATGCTCCATTTAATACCGGGTGGATAGTCATATTTTGATATTTTCACACGAGACCCGTTTCTTATACATAACTTTCAAAACTGAAAGCCTGCCGTGCAGCCTTTTGCTCAACTCTTGAACTCCGTGAATGAATGGAGATTCATGCTCAGAAGGAAACACAAAACTTGCTATCCATTCAACTTTTATCTTTCTAGCTAGTTAATTCATTACTCAATTGTACTCAATCCCGAGAACATTAACCGCGCAATTTTGTGTACAAGAAAAACTTGAAGCTGCACAAATACGCATGCTTATGTAGGGGAAAAAAAAAACTCACATCAGATTAGAAATCACGCAAACAGAAAATGAACTATGCAAAAAGCAATTGTTTTTTCTTTTTCAATCAAACGATAATAGCTTGTGAATGAAGTCTGGATACATTTAGTTAGTCGTTCATTGATGAAACCATTGTAATTCTACATTTTAAGTAGCTCTAATGGGGGGTGAAAACACCACCAATAATCACGAGAAATTCTGTTTCAACATCCAGGAAGCAGGATCCGTTATAGCACCTACTCAGAGTCCAGCACATTCTGGAAACAAAAGCAAGAAATATGCAAGTTATGTTCCCAATCCAATTGCGTTGCCTGCAAGTTAAAAACTAATACCACATCCTGTCTGTTAGAGAATAATATAAATCATTAAAAAGGCCCTCACCCAACACCTTAAGGTTTTAGGTTGAAATGATTCTTTACATGATATCAGAGCTTCAATGACCACAAGGTCACGAGTTCAATCCTCACCGCCCCCCACTCTCCACTCCCCACTTTCGAGTGGAATTAAAATAAACACAAGGTAAACCAAAAAATTGGGCTTGTGCAATATCCATACTTCAAGCTCAAAGGGCTCTTGTGTGAGGGGACGTGTTAGAGAATAATATAAACCATTAAAAAGTTTCTCACCCAACACCTTAAGGTTTTGAGTTAAAATGGTTCTTTACACTGCCACCCACTCAGATTAAATGTTAGAAGAACAACAAGACCACCTGACTGACAAAATGTCAATGCAAATTAAGTTGGTACAAATTTCCAGAATTAGAGATCATTCCCTTTTCTTATGCACTTTCTTCTCTCACTCTCCAATGCCAAAGTCAGTCCACATCATTATGCAATTAAAAAAAACCAACAGGCTATCAACAATCAATTATGGAGTACACACGTACTAACTACATCATGTTATTTTTTAGAATAAAATATTACAGGGACAAAGAGATCAAACTCAGTTTTGCCATACTAATACAGAAGATGCTGTGCCAATTTGGAGTGCTTGCATTTCGACACACGGGCAAACACACCTCAACCTCATTATTTAATCTTTCATGACTCAGGAATACAGACAATTTTGTTTTCTGTTTTTGATGAGAAAGAGGAAAAACATTTACCATATATATAGCAATGCACTTTCCCACTTTTTGGAGGAAAATTTGAACATGTAAATTTTCTATAAGATTTTCCTTCCTTGTTTTCTTTTTGTTGATGAAAGTGGTCGTCAACTGTGGACAACAAGTACAGGTGCCACTAGGTAATTTGAGAATAGAAAGAATTAAGGGCACATCAAGAGACAACATGACATGCAGGCAGCATGATGAGGAAATTATAATTTTCATTTTAGAAAATAAGATGTTCCCTTAGTTTTCATTATAAGTCTATCTGCAAACTTTGCTTCATCTTAAATTCACACGGGTGTCAATTTCCAGTATTAAAATTTCATAGAAACAGCCCAAAGATGCATTTGTTACAGATACAGCATTTTTTTATGAATGTGTATCTTCCACCTCACCGAGACAAAATCAAATAATTAAGCAGCAGCAAGTTGTAATTGTTGGAACAAACAGTAAAATCATATGGAGGATGTTAGCATGTTAGTAAGTTTAGAGAGAATGAAGAAGAAAAGAAGACCTGAATAGGAGTGTGAGAAACCTTAGGTGATGCTGAATTGGGTGGAGATCCATGAAATAGAGGAGAACACTGTGTGTATGCTGATCCAATTCCCACCCCACCACCAAAAGCAATCGATGCCCACCGAGCTGTACGACTCCCTAGTACCACAATCACACTTCGCTCAAAACAACAATACGATTGATTGTATGTATTGATTGTATTCTAACATAAAAATGAAAAGGACCAGCATATGTAATGTAATGTAATGTTCATAAGAAGATATTAGTAATGACATTCGGCCATTGGAATTGGATATCAAAACAAGAATATAATTATAATTTGTGTTGGTCAATTGGAGTGGATATGATTTGATTATTGATATCTTAAACTGACAAAAAGAGAGAGAGAGAGAGAGATACAGACTGAAAAATATTAAACCGGCAAATGCACCGGTCAATGACGAGTACACGAAGCGACGGAGGGTGAGATCCACGCACGCGTCTACCTCTTCTTTCTTCCCCTTCCCCATTCTCTTTTCTATCATCAAACGCTTAACACACCATTTCTCATTTCTGTTCGTCAATTTGAATTAGAATCTCCCTTTTTTTCCATCATTAGGGGTTAGGGCTCCTTTCTATGGGCTTTGGCCCAACCCATTCAATAACCCTTCACCATTTCTTTCTTCTTCTTTTTCTCACAACAATTATTTAATTAATTTAATAAAGATTCAGTTTTTCTACGGTCAATATAAATAACTTATCTATATTTAGTCCAAAACGATGTCATTTTGAGACGGAAATCACCATATTTTTTACAAATATAATTTATTTCAGAGTTATAATAGTCTTTTTCATTATAATTTTTTAATTTTTCAATTCAAAACAATGTTATTTTGAGAGCAAATGTAAATAACTTATCTACATTCACTTTAGAATATTAAAGCCATTTAATAAAGGGATTGTATCATTTTAAATGACAAATACTTTTTCCTTTAAATAAATATCAATTTTACTTTTAGGGCCTGTTTGGAGCACCTGATAAAGAAGATAGGATAAGATAATTTATCATATCCTATCTTTTATGTCTTGTTTGGTGGGTCAATAGGATATGATTAGCTTATCCTATTGTCTCATTTTATCCTATCCAATACATGATTTCTTATCCTATGGGTGGAGTTGGGTTAGGATTCAAGAGGATATGATACCAATATTGGATACCCAATATATCCATACGCTACCCAATATATCCCCACGCTATCCAATATATTTGTATTTATTGCATTATATTTTATTTTTTTCTTTCTCTTTTCTCCTCCTACATAATTTTATCAGATTGCTAATCAGGTGCTCATCAAACACAAGACATGATATAGGCTTATCAGCCCCATATCATCTCTTACTCTTATCAGCCCTATATCATATCCTACCTTTATCCTATCATGTCCACCAAACGAGCCCTTGTGCAGCATCTGTCTTTTGTGGTGTTTTTTTATAGGGAAATATAAGAATCATGTTGTAGGAATGACACTGTTCATTCCTGCAACAAGGATCCGACAACGTATCTTGAGGATACGGCGCCGTATCGTGATTTTGGTTTGACTTTTTTTTTTTAAGCGTGGGACCCACACTTGATTTGTGTGTGCAGAAAAATGGTCTTGTCATGTGATATGACAAAAAGCGAACCCTTTTTTATATTATCTCTTCTCTACATTACTCTTTATGTTTCTCTTCTTTTAATTTTGTGTAGGACACAAAATATAAAAAATTACCAAACATTCACTAATTTTTTTTTGGGTTCGCTTTTTGTCATGTCACATAACAAGACCATTTTTCTGCACACACAAATCAAGTGTGGGTCCCACGCTTAAAAAAAAAGTCAAACCAAAATCACGATACGGCGCCGAATCCTCAAGATACGTTGCCGGATCATTGTTGCAGGAATGAACAGTGTCATTCCTGCAACATGATTCTTATATTTCCTTTTTTTTTTTTTTGAGGAATTTCATTTTTCATTTATCTTTCTTTATTATAAAATTGGAAAATAAAGCTTAAGAAATGTTTCTTTAGCCAATTTCCTCAATTTTTTTACGATAAAAATTGTTTAATATCTCGACAATCAATATTTCTTAAAGGTAGTATTAGACACAAGTTTTTTTAAAAAACATGAGTTATATTTTTATTAAATTTTACATAAATAAGTGTCTCTTATCATTTTAACTTTTTCAACCGTCAATTTTGACCCTTGAGAAACTATGATTGAATTTTGTCAAAATTGTAGCATTACTTATTTTTCAAAAGAAACTACTAGTTCAAAAAATTTATGGAAAAATTTCATTTTCGCCCTTATGATTATAGTGTGTAACTCCTCATGTTTCAAATTCATTACTTAAATCTATTGTGATCTTTGTCTGTAGTAGAATTTTGGTTTTCTTGCACATATAATTTTTATTTTGTAAATGTCATAAACGTCTTTTTAAAATACCCTTATCCGCTTCCCGCAAATGAATTCATTTATGATTTTTCTTCCCTCAACCCCTCTATTATCCTCCACCTCATATATTCTTAAATTTTAAAAAATTGATGTGATTTTGAATATAAGTATAAAAATAAATAACATAAGACAAATTATAATTAAATAATATATTTATTAATATGTGTGTGGATAAAATTGTTCTTTCTCAAATATTTTCATGTGTTTGCCAAAAAATAATAATAACAGAAAAACAAAATAGTGCTGTGTTAAGAAGAAGAAAAAATGAGTAAAACATTTTAGTTCCTAATAAAAAATGGGCTTTATTAATCTCATGTGACATAAAAGAAGCTCTCTTATGTCATAAAGATAGTTATGAGTGAGACCCACTCACGTAAAGAAAAAAAAATAACACGGAAGTCGATGTATGTGTAGGAGAGAAAAATACTTTCTTACAGCATAAGATGATATTTTTCCTATAAAAATAGGGTTCCAATTTTTGTCCTTTATAAAAAAAATTAACTTTTAATCATTTACAATTTTTTAATTTAGTTCTTAAAAAAAAGATTAATATGAAATTTATTTATTTTTAGCTACGAAAATGAACATCGTAATTTTTTGTATTTTGTGAGGGATCGGCTTTACTAAAAAGAAAAGAATGGATTTGGTGTAAAAGAGGGTTAAAGTAGAAACTTGCTGGAACAGTGGCATAGGATTCCGCACGCAGCTGAATGTCTCTTCTTTATGTAGGTAGGAGTTGTTGGTGTTGTCACTTGTTAACGCTCGAAACCCGAACCATTCATCACTTGTTAACTCTTTCTGTCTGTAGTGTAGTGTAAGCGTGTAAGTAAGTGTAACCTCTCACTCACCCTCTCTTCAACTTCTCGAGTCTTCTTCTCCGCCCTTTATTTTCCGTATCACCATCTCGATTCTCTTCTTCACTAATGGCCGATACTGATTCAAACCCTACACCTACCCCTGCTCCTGTTCCTGTTACACCGCCGCAGGAGCATGATTTATCCACTGTAGCTGCTGAACTGGAATCCCCCAACACTGAGAACAAAGACGAGCCTCCTCCTCCTCCTCCAGAGTCAGAGGAGAAAGATTTAAAAGCTGAGACTTCAGAGGATGTGGTTGTTGTTGTTGAAGTTGAAGATAAAGATAAAGATAAAGTTGAAGATGATGAAAAGCAGCATAAGATTCCGCAGAATTTGGTGTCATTCAAGGAGGAGAGCAATAGGGTTTGTGATCTGTCGGATTCTGAGAGAAGTGCTGTTGAAGAGCTGAAGAAGCTTCTGACAGAGGAAGTAAAGGACGGCGAGTTTTCCATTTGGGGTGTTCCTCTTCTCAAGGATGAAAGGACTGATGTCATTCTGCTCAAGTTCCTCAGAGCCCGAGATTTCAAAGTGAAGGATGCATTTGTTATGATTCAGAATACACTCCGATGGAGGAAAGAGTTCAACATCGATTCCCTTTTGGATGAAGATCTGGGTGATGATCTGGACAAGGTTGTCTTCATGCACGGAAATGACAGAGAAGGTCATCCCGTCTGCTACAATGTCTATGGAGAGTTTCAGAACAAGGACCTTTATGACAAGACTTTCTCAAATGAGGAAAGAAGAACCAAGTTTCTCCGATGGCGGATTCAGTTCTTGGAGAGGAGTATCAGGAACCTTGACTTTACTCCTGGCGGTATCAACACCATTTTCCAAGTCAATGACCTTAAGAATTCTCCTGGGCCTGCTAAACGGGAACTTCGCCTTGCCACAAAACAAGCTTTGCAATTGCTTCAGGACAATTATCCCGAGTTTGTTGCCAAACAGGTTGCACACATTCCCAATTTTTTATTGCTTTGCTATCTATCTATCTATCTATGATTTCTTCATGGCTGATGCGATGTCTTTTTCTTTATTATTCAATCCCTTTAGGTTTTTATCAATGTCCCTTGGTGGTATCTTGCATTCTATACCATGATCAATCCCTTCTTGACACAGAGGACCAAAAGCAAATTTGTGTTTGCAGGGCCATCTAAGTCTCCCGATACACTTTTCAAGTTAGTGAACAATGCCTGCATTACATCACTCTTGTCATGCCAAGTTCTGTTTGCGAAATTTTGATATTTTCTTCCTCTCTTTTGGTTTAAATGTTGGGATATGAACTCACCCTTGTATATTTCTTTGTAAAATTAAATAGGTATATCTCTCCTGAGCAAGTGCCGGTTCAGTATGGAGGCCTGAGTGTAGACTTTTGTGACTGCAACCCAGATTTCAGTATGTCTGATCCTATCACGGAAATTCCTTTAAAGCCAACCACAAAGCAAACTGTGGAAATAGCTATTTATGAGGTGTAATTGCGAGTTTTCTTTCAATTAGACTAGTCTTTTATCATGTTCGTGTTATTACTTTCTGAATTAAAGATCTCAGTAAATTGATGCGCATGATTTGCAGAAATGCATTATTGTTTGGGAGCTGCGGGTGGTGGGCTGGGAGGTTAGCTATAATGCTGAATTCAAGCCTGATGCTAAAGATGCATATGCAGTTATTATACAGAAGGCCACAAAGATGTCCCCGACTGATGAACCTGTGATTTCCAATAGCTATAAAGTTGGTGAACTGGGCAAATTATTGCTCACCGTCGACAATCCCACCCTGAAAAGGAAGAGGCTTCTTTACAGGTTCAAGATCAAACCCTACAGTGATTGACAGAAAATCATTCTGAAGTGATTTTGGTTACATGAAGGGAATTGAACTTGAAGAGTAAGAAATATGCATGTCGTCACTTGTTCAGCCCATTATTCAATTGTAGTTTTGGTTGTGAGTTGTTTGCAGATTGGGTTCTCTGTCTTATTGTGTTTAAATACTTTATTGCTAGACAAACAATTTAGCTAGTCTAAATTGTTCTTTTATTTTCTGGTGATGAGCAATGTCAGGGAAGAGAGTAGCACATGGTATTGGTTTATGAGGTTATATATATTACCAGAATTATGTGTCACTTTCATGAGCAAATCAACATATAGAAAGCCTGGCTGAGAGTAGTTTCAATGTAAAATTTTGTTCTCGTACTTATCCAGTGTGGAGTTTGGTGCAATTATAAGCATTTTCATAGATATGTAATATAAAGGGAGTAAGTAAATGGGAAATATGCCTGATTTTTTTCTATTTTTACCAATTCTTCATTTTATTATTCTATATTTCTATTTGATATTTATTCTATTTCTAAATGAAATTAGAACAGTAAATAACTTGGGATTGGGAGTTCTTTAGTTTCGGTTAACATGCAGAGGCTGTGACTGTCTTCCTTCTTGTTTGTGCATTTGCTCTTTATTTGGTGGTAATTTAGTTCTTCTGTATTGCCCAAGATTTTTATTTAGTTTTACCTGGGGAGTAAGGACTGTAAATGGATGAGACTATAGTTCTATACAACATCATGTGGCCCTCTTGCCTCGGCAGGCGATCTGATTCATATCCACTATGTTAAATTTATTTTCTACTGGAACTATATGATATTTCCATTTTGTTTATTTGGAAACTGGGGAAAGCTTTTAAGGAGGTCGTTTAAATATGTTTAGTTAATAATTTAATCCTAACTACACCTCTGCTCTAAAGAAATGGTCCTGATTCACTTTCTCCTATCTTTTATTAATATGGAAAGTAAAGTTTTGCAGCTGCCAGGCGTGCTTCTTTGGATCCAAAAACTTTTATTCATAGTCTTGTTCTCTCATAGAAGAACGCATCTGTTGTAATTTGTAAATTCTGGGATTCCAGTGGTAGACGGCATCCACTATCATAACATACTTCAATGTTGAAATCATTTTCGTGTTTTATTTAATTGTTACCTTTGACTGCATCCACAGTGATTGGTGTCTGAATGACATCGCGGTCTTCGTGTGCTATTTTCTTAATTTTCTACATTTTAGTATTAACCTTATCGTTTGGGGTTTTTCAGATGCAATATGAACCTAATTAGGTAGGGGGAGAGGGGAAAACAAGGTATCATGTTTAAAGGAAGAAATTTTAGTGGAAACAAATCTTTAAGAAGCTGGTCAATTTTGTGTTTAGTGCAAGAAATGATTGCATGTGTTGCGAGTGCAGCATATGTTTTACATTTAGAAAGGAATGACCGATCAAGTGTTAAATAAAAATTGCATATATAATGTTAATTCCGTAAGTAGCTAATTTTTCCTTCGGCCTAGGTCCCTGTACTAGGACAGGCTGTTTGTTCTTTAGGTCTCTATGTTTCATGGCAATGGGAGGAAGAAATGCATACAGGGATTCTTATAATTATTGAATTGATGTATGCTTCTTTTTTCCTCCTATCCTTATCTTCGAGTTTCTGTATTGCTGTGACAATTAGTGTTCGTAGATACATTTTAAGTTACCATAGTTAATGTACAATGAGAAAAGTTTCTGTATTTTCATCCTACTCAGTTCGATTAGACTAATCGGATAATAGCGAGATTTCCCCATCTCATCATATGTGAAGCGTGTCTAACCCATTCAGAAAATAACTTTCTAATTCAACACGTAATGAGCAATAATCTGACACATGTATAAATCCTTGTACCATGGATAATGTTCGACCCTCCAACACCTCGCTAATGGATTATGATTGTGTTATATAGATATGTTGTTAGTTTTGTCCGTGTTAGATAATTCCTATGCAAACATTTTATAAAATTCATTTTCCAAAAAAAAAATGAAATAAAAACTTTTGTATTTATTTAGAAAATATAAGTAGGTGATATTAAGGGGGAAAATGATGTAAAAAGAGAAATTTAAAAGTATTTGGTAATTTAAGAATTTTTAGAAAAATAATAAAAAGTATAGTGCTAAAGAACAATGAAGTCATGTGTTAAGATAATATAATTAAAGATTATCTTCCTTTCAATAATAAACTTTCCATTTTATTATGGAAGGGTGGATAATAATAATTAGAAAGAAAATAGGAGTCGTCTTACATTCATATTTTAGGTATTTGTTATTTTATCACATATTATATTTTAATAATAAAAATTACGACTTTATTTTTTATGAAAAAAATTCAATAATAATTTTAAAAAAATAAAATATTATTAATTTAATATCGTGGAGTAAAAATTATAGTATTATTAAACCGTGATTATCCCGGGTTAATATTTGGAATTTGATTACCAAAAAAAAATTGGAATTGAAAAGAACGAAATTGGTTGGTTGAGCTTTCAATGTTTAGGTGGAATATGTATCCGGGTTAGGTGACATTTTCTGCTTTATTCTTTTGCTTCCATGATCAATTTAGTGCGAAAGATGGTTGTAATCATTATGTTTGCAGTTGATAAAATATATGGGGTTCCTATCATCCTTTAGACCTTTGCTTGTAGTTTTTAATAATGGACTAAAGCAACTTCCAGTTGGACATCAATCAAACACCAAAGCATTTCAAAACGCAGCAGAGGACCTCTTAATAGTTTAAGATTTTCAAATCCTTATAATTCTCTTAACATGGAATCTCCTCAACTGCTAAAAGATGTCCAAGTTAATTTATCTCTCTCTCCATAATATAGGTTTCTTAGCTCCATCTTTTATTTATGTACTCTTTCATGTAAAGTCAAAACAAATTATCATAAATTTTGATATTTTTACACATAATATGTCCATTAACAAGTGTCTTTTAAAAATATATATATATCCAAAAGGCCGTTGATGAGAGATGTAATAGCTGAATGCAAGGACAGTTCAGATACACAAGTTTTATAAGTTAAAGTTTAAAAAAAGAAGTTAAAAGCTGTTTGAAAATTACATAAAAAATTTAGCTTAAAAATTACTTAAAAGCACATATTTCAAGAAAATTATCTCTCTCCCTATCTTTATCACTTTTCATTTAAAAAAAAAGCACACAATTCAAGAAAAACAGATAAGAGCTAAAAAAAAACTCCTCCTTGGAGCTTTTAATTTTCAGCTTTTTCTTCATTATAAAAAAAGAGAGCTTTTCGTTATAAGAGTTTTTTCCAAAACCTGTTTGGCCTAGCTTATACTTATAAGTAGTTTATAGCTTAAAAATAAGAGAACCCAAACAGGCAATTAAACTAAACAAAAAGTCTTCATTAGTTTTATGATTGCAACAGCTTTTATATAGTCAAACTGCTAGCCTGTCCAGCGGCCATATATGGATCAAGTGATTTATCAGAGGTTTACGATCCGATTCATATCAAGTGGGATGTAACCTAATATATTTAATAAAATTAAATATGTTTAAGTCTTTATAAAGGTTCATTAAAAAAAGAAAAACATATATATATTATTTTAAATGATATAAGTTGTATTATTTCATAGACACAAAAAAATAAAACACACACCTTTATTTTATTTTTTGTCTTTATTTTTTTTCAACGGAACTTACACCTTTTTGTGAGTTTGAAATAACACATATTTTTACTTTTTTTATTAAAACCGTCAAGTTTACATGAGGGCTTATATTGGATTATTTATTTTAATTAAAATAAATTAAATATTTTACTAATTTTAATTAATAAAAATATAATATTATTTTGTTTTAAAATAATATTATATCATTTTGTTTTAAAATAATATAATATAAATCAAGTCAAATTTATAATTTAACTTACACTAAATTAATATAGGCAATGTCATATTCAAAATATTTTATGTAGAGTTAACCTATTTGTGCTCATATCATCATATCCAATCAAATCCATGATGCACCGTCGCTGTGAAGTGGGAGTATAAGTGACACGTATGGGTTTTTTTACTCTTATAACCCTTTATTATTAATTAATTACCGATTTGACCTTGATTATAAACTATTTCAAAAATTTAACCCTCTCAAAAAACATAACACCAATCTGCTCATGTTTGACCGTTGACCACCAAGCCTACCCGGGTACACCCCTCTGTACTCGGGTATTTTTTGAAAATTTTTGTCTACCCGAGTAGGGAGGCGTGTACCCGGGTATTGTTCTTCGCACCTGAGAAATTGCTTGAATTATTTACCCGGGTAGAGAGGGGTGTACCCGGGTAAATCTTCGACCACCCGGGTATGATTACTCTTTGGATCTCCCATGCACTCTTCTTCTCCAAGCTTTGAATATGGAGGCACCCACTATCACATGCTCCGCCTCTGCAACTTTTTTGGGTCTGTAAAGCACACAAATATTTTTCAATGATTATTTTAGAAAGGGAATTCTCAGTTAACACTATAAAAGTAGACCCCATCATAATCGATACGAACATGGACCGCTTTGATGAGCAGTAAAGTGTTGATGTATGGAAATTCCAAATCCATTCTCAAAGCTAAAAGCTCTTCAAATTGGTTAGGCATGCTTAACTTGATAATACTGATCTATCTCATTAGCTGTAAAAAAGAGAGAAAAAAAAATTACCATGAAACAATTAATTACACATCCGCAAATATAATTAACTTGTGGTAAAATCAAATAAATCATATCTGTTCTTATATCCATCAGCTACAAGTTGCCCCAGTTATAGCAAGTACCAAATGGGTGGTCGAAGATTTACCCGGGTACACCCCTCCCTACCCGGGTAAATAATTCAAGCAATTTCTCAGGTACGAAGAACAATACCCGGGTACACTCCTCCTTACCCGGGTAGACAAAAATTTTCAAAAAATACCCGGGTACAGAGGAGTGTACCCGGGTAGGCTTGGTGGTCAACGGTCAAACATGGGCAGATTGGTGTTATGTTTTTTGAGGGGGTTAAATTTTTGAAATAGTTTATAATCAAGGTCAAATCAGTAATTAGTTAATAATAAAGGGTTATAAGGGTCAAAAAGCCGACATGTATGCTTTGGTTTAGTTTGAACCAAATGTAGTTCATCAACAATTTTTTTAATTGTTACACATTGTTTTGATTACGATAAATATGCATTTTCATAAAAAATTATTCACATCCTAAAATAAAATAATTCATATTTATTTATAAAAGATAGCTTAGAATATTATTGAGTGTTTTTCCCTTAAAAATCAATTTCTTTTAATAAGCATCTCTATGTCTTCCCATTTTATTTGTGCTCAGTTTAGTGTTGGACCTGTGTGTGTGTGTGTCGTGGTTAATTATTTAGTAGTTGGTAATTTGGTATGGACCCTCGAAAGATGCTTCTCTTAACACATTGGGTGGGGACAATTTTTCTTTCCTTTTTTTGTCTTTCTCAACACCGGGTTTGTAACTTGTATTAGTCACCAAAGAATTTATTTGATTTTATTTCATACACATATTTATTATTTTGTATTTTAAATAAATTGATATCACAGGAAGCCAGCCCAAATTGTGTGGATTGCTTGCTCAATCGGCCACTTAAATTGATTTATCCTAAACTCTACGTACCTAACTTTTATGGAGAGCAATTTTGATACTACTACAATATCACATATTTCATAATAATTTTGTAATTTAAGATTCGAGTTAAAAATATAAAATTCATTTAATTTTAATATACTAAAGAATGAGTTATTTGTATTGGTAAAACTGTAAGTAAGAAGTACTTTCTTGCTTATCATTATTTTATTTTTTAAAAATATTTCATTGGTTCATCGCTTCGTGACTAGTCTAATTTAAGCTTTAAACTCTTCCTAAAGGTGACACTGAAGATGGTCGAACACATGCTCTTACCCTACCTGCTCAACTCTCGTGCGCCAATTGAATTATCACCATTTAATTGCTTATCATCATTTAGATTTAGACTAGTGTTACTTTTTTTCTCGTAGGTAAATATGAATTGTCATAAAAAAACAAATAACGGCGTGAATATATACTGTGTGTCAAAGTACCAAAAGCTGTCATAACTATAAAGAAATCATAAAGCTATGGGTTAAATTTCTGTAGGAAAATGTCAGCATATGATACGAGTTATATTCTTTACTTAGTTTAGAATGTTATTATGTTGGTACCAATTTTGAGTCAGCCATCCTAAAGTAGACGAACAGATTTCTGAGCGTTCCTTAATTGAAAAGTGCCATTATCGAGACCAGATAACATTAAAATGGGCCTAATTGCTAATGACTCGAGACTGTAAGGTGGCTGCAAAACGCTACACTGCTGACATTGTTGAGCCACATTCCAGCGATGCTATATTGGAAACAACTCATATATGCTACTTGACCAACAATCCTCACTCTCATCATTCAAGTTTTCATTTAGATGCAACTGCTGGGCTTTAGAAGAGTTAATATAATAATAGTATTGTCCTTAATTTATAAAAGAATAAAAAAAATATAATATTTACCTCAATTTACTCGAAGCTAAACTCAACCAGTAAATAATTTCTCAATCAAGAAAGCATAACATCAGAAACAATGAACTAATTTTTTATTATTTACGGGGAATAAGAAAGTAATACATCATGACATTTAAACAAACTTTACAGCTATAAGAGCATCACAATGCAAACAGTTTTTCTTCCACAGTTCATCACGCAGACATTAATTTTTCCTTTACAAATGAACTCCAATTGTGTTCCCTCCCCACCCACCGTCCTTCATCCAGTTCATGCATCTCAGAAATTTCCAAGCAGTAAATGTTTTATCAAATTCCAAAACCAAATGAACAAAATACCACATCCACGTCACTGTAACTGTAAATAAAATTGCCCAACCCCCAGACTCGAAACAAGAAACAAAATAATTTATAAACCAAATGAACAAAATAACCCCTTGTATAAAAGAATAAGTTCCCCCACCCCCAACTTCCACAATGTTCTTTTACTTTCAATGAAAATACATAACAACCCCTGGTCTTCACCATGTCATTCTCTTATCCATGGGAATTCAGACATTCTTCCTCGAAAGCTTTACTCGGAGATGGCTTTGGTCTTGGACCTGTACAGGAGTTTCTTCCTCTTGGAAGTTTGGTTGTCTATGGTGAGTACAACCTTGCCCGGTTCACCAATTTTGAAGCTGTTAGTAATTACTGTTTCATCAGCGGGAGCAATTTTCCTGCTCTTCTGCACTAACACAGTGTATCCATCCTCGGTGCTGGGCACGAATTCAGCTCCATAGTTAACATCCCAACCCACAACTCGGACTTCCCAAACCAGATGGCTTTTCTGCATATACAATGGTTTAGTCAGCACACCAAATATGCACGTTAGAGATAGGGCCCTACTTAATGAAATAAGATTGTATCAAATAATTGTCTCCTAGTTACCTCAGAAACTGGGAACTCAACAGTATGTTTTGTTGCTGGTTTAATAGTAACCTCGGTGACAGGGTCAGCATTGGTGAATTCCTGTTCACCCTCTCTGCTCAGTCCACCATATTGAACCGGCACTAGCTCGGGAGCTATATACCTGTCCCGGCCAAATATGTATCATTATCAATAAGAGCTAGCTAACAGTAACCATAATAATAATAATAATATCATATCAATAGAGTAAGTTGCTGATAATGGTACCAATAATGACGTAGAGATATAAATACACGACGACCCAACAAACCGAAAGGAAGACAAAAAAACACAGAACATATTTATGATGATCGAGCAGTAAAAAAAGGAGAAGAAATGCCCTTACTTGAAAAGGGTTTCAGCAGATTTGGATGGACCAGCAAATACAAATTTGCTCTTTGTCCTCTGTGTCAGGAAAGCACTGATCATCCTAGAAAAGGCAAGGTACCACCAAGGAACATTGATAAATATCTGCGGAAACAAAAACCAAGCAATCACTTTTAAGAATACAAGGTTGCCAAAATTCCATCTTCAAAATTAGAATACAAAGAAAATTGAAAAGGGGGCTGAGTTAGAAATAATAAGGGAACAAGTAGTACGAACCTGCTTGGCAACGAACTCAGGGTAGTTATCCTGAAGCAACTGAAGGGCCTGATTGGTAGCCTGCCTGAGCTCCCTCTTGCCAAGTCCAGGAGAATTTCTAAGATCATTCACCTGGACAATGGTAGAGATACCAGTTGGACTGTATTCAAGATTTCTGACACTCTTCTCCAAGAACTGAGTCCTCCACCTGATGAACTTGTTGCGCTTCTCCTCATCAGAAAAGGTGTTGTTATACAACTCCTTGTTCTCAAACTCACCAAAGACGTTGTAGCAAACTGGGTGTCCTTCTTTGTCATATCCATGAGTAAACACCACCCTGTCCCAATCACTTCCGAGATCTTCATCGACGAGCGCGTCGGCTCCGAATTCCTTTCTCCAACGGACGGTGTTTTTGATCATCGCGAAGGCATCCTTGACCTTGAAATCCCTGGCTCTGAGGAATTTAAGGAGAATGACATCGCTCCTCTCATCGGCAAGGAGGGGAATTCCCCATATTTCAACTTCCTCAGGCGAAGGCGGAGCCGGTGCTTCCTCGACAGCAGGAGCAGACACTGAAACTATGGTCTCCTTAATAGCCTCCACCGTCTTTTCACCGTCCTCCTCCACAGCCTCACCCTTCTTCTCTTCGCCAGTTGTTGCAGTCTCAGCCTCAGGTTTAACTTCAATTATAGGTTCCTCAGAAGCTGAAACTGGTTTATCTTCTATTGCCTCCTCTTCCTTCTTCTCTTCTTCTGTCACCTCCGCGGCCTTCTTCTCTTCTTCTGTCACCTCCGGAGCCTTCTTCTCTTCTTCTGCCACCTCTGGAGCCTTCTTTTCCACTTCAGTTGCCTCTTCCTTCTTATCTTGCTCCTGTTCTACTTCTGCCACCTCTTCCTTCTTTTGTTCTTCAGTTATTATCTCTTCCTTCTTATCTTCTTGTTTCTTATCTTGTTGTGTGACCTCAGGGGCCTTGGGTGGTGGTGGGGGAGTAGTTAGCTCATGCTTGTTAAGTGCTTCTTGAATAAGGTGCTTGAGTTCATCGAGGGCCTTCTTCTCAGCTTCGGGGAGGTCACCAACAACGTTGGTCTCCTCCTTGAAGGAAACCGACTGGGGAATCTTGTCATCGAGGGGTTTCTCCACTTCTTCAGCAGATGGTGGCTTCTCTTCAGCAGGAGCAGCAGATGCATCAGCAGCGGGGTCCTTGTCAGCGTCCACGGCGGTCACTACTTCTTCAGTTGGTTTTTGGGTTTCCTCAGCCATGGATGATGTGGATGGATGGTGTTGAAAGTACAAAATAAGTATGAACAAAAAGTAAAGACTGACAGAGTCGTTGAAGCAGAAAGAGATGATGAAGAAGGAGGGAGGGAGAGAGAGAGGGGTCTGTCTAATAAAAGAGAGAGGGAATGAGAAGAACCAGACTGTCAGGACTAATATGCCAGCAGGTACACCACTTTCTTTCTCATTGTGGGCCAGCCCAATTCCACTTCTCTCTCTCACTACATCAATCATTCATTTTTTTTCCACTTCTATATCACCGTTTATGTATAATCTAAAGCTCAGTTTATATTTATAATTTTTTTTTTTTTTTTACAAATTATATTAGGATAGTATATTGTGACACATAAGTTATGTTACACCTAGTCAATCTCACCGTTAGATCGCTTATGTTGATCCAACGGTTATATTTATTTCCATCTTTGTATGGTCATGATTTCCCAAATTTAATATTTTATATTTATTTCTACCTTTGTATGGTTATGATTTTTCATATTTAATTCTTTCACTTTAAATTTGGGAAATCATGACCATACAAAGATTGGAAATAAATATAACCGTTGAATCAACATAAACGATCTAACGTGAGATTGACTGGGTGTCACATGGGTGTAACATAACTTGGGTATCACAATATCCTATCTCAACCATATTATGTAGTATCGGTCCTACATTAATCAATTAATCATACAGTGTACGACTAATCTTACATTAGTGTAATTGTAAAAAAAGTTTGTAAACAGGTCCCTATTATTAGATATTATGTCCTTTTAAACCTCCATTCAATTCGGATTTCCTTTTTCTTCTATTCTATTCACTTGTTCTCATCCTTAAATGCTATATAACGTAAACAAAACTATGGTTATTATTCAAAAAAATCATTTAATGGGGATCAATGATAACTTGATTTTCAAATTAATAATACTAAGAATGAATCACAATACGTGTATTATTTGACTGATTTTTTGTATTGTGATTCATATTCAATCATAAGATATAAAAATATATTAAAAAATAATTTAAAAATAAATATTAAAATATTTCTTTTATTATTACAATTTTTTCAGATTAATTTTTGAATTTCTATCATAAATTAATTTTTTTCTTATATAACAATCAAATCAAATCAAATCAAATAATTTTTAATTTGGCAAATCAAATCAGATTTTTTATTAATTCATAAATTAAATTTTTATTTTTTATATTAAAAAACATAAATTTTGATTCAATTTTCTGTCATATTATATATGATACATACCATATCATATGATATAATATTATATCGTTTGATACAAATTACTTTTTGATATACATTACATTTATAAATTATACAATATCGTATGAATCATATCATATATCATTCAATATTGATAACTATACCGAGAAGAATAACATTTTGGGAACTAATATTGCTTTCAGCGTTATGAATGGCGTGTTACTATTAATATGATTTTAAAAAGCAACAGAGCCAAAAAGTAGTTGGAATCAAACGTTACCAAAATTTGGAATTATTGAAAGATATCAAATTAATCAAAATTAATATATTCTGACAAAATCGCATTTGCCAGTCGTACAACCAATATTTTCATGCTTTTCAACACACAATTTCAAATCACTCAAGCTACTTTAAATTTTCGGGTAAATAAATAAAAAAATTAAAATACTCTCTAAATCACTGTAATATTACTAAATTTTTAAGAGTAAATACTCATTTTCGTCCCTAGCAATTTTCACGAGGTACATTTTAGTTCCGAATAATAAAAAAAAGCTCATTTTAGTCCCTAATATTTGAAAAAAAGAGCCACGTTCGTCCTTCCGTTAGTTGGCATCTGATGGCCCAACTAACGAAGCACACGTGGACCGTTACTTTGTTGAGTCACTGTTAAGTATGCCAGCGTGGAAGTAATATGACGTCATTTTATGTCTTCTTGAAGTTTTGGACAACTGACCCTAGCATCGAAGGCCCTATTTGGTCCTTGACAAATTTATCGAGGCCCTACTTGGTCCCTAACAAATTTATCGAGGTCCTATTTAGTCCTTAACACCACAAACCTTTCTAATCTTTAGACACTATCACATGTTGCTTTTTTGTTTTTTCCGTCTTATGGTTTGATATCAGAATCATCCCAGGGATCTTTTAGATCAGTTGAGACCAAAGAATCAATGTCCTTCCAATTCCAATAGTTTGAAGTTTCCATGCCAGCACTTGTTGCTGGTATCTCCCATGTGTGTTACTGCCACTTGTGCTGGGCATTATGTTGTTGATGGTTGGTTCCTCCATTGTTTTAAACTCCTCCCCATAGTTATAAACATTGGAGGATCGCAGAGAAGTTCATACTGCACAAGGGTTTGTGTCAAAAGAGCTTGAGGTTGAGAAGAGAAAGTGTAGGCTTTGGTTTTGAGGAAAAGGCAAAGTTGAACTCAAAAAGATGATATTACCAATACCAAAATCTTTGCTTTCTAAGTCTCCAGTATTCATCAGATTCTGTTGTAACAGCAAAGATGGTGGGCGAATCAAAGCTTGAACTTGATAGAAAGAGGAAGGGATGTTTTTCTGATTACTCACTGCAAGAGGAGTTGGATTCATTGTCATGTGGCTACTTGACCCGCCACCCATGTTGCCAATTGAGGTGGAGACAGTGGTGGTGCAAGTAGAGGAGGTGGTGGCTTTGGTCGTGGAGGAAGATGTTGGGGTGGTTGATTTTTTTACCTTCTTATTCTTCCTGCCACCACCAACAGGAACATTGCGTAAAGTTCCGCCTTTAATCCAGTGCCTCTTACAAGCTCTGCAGAAATGGCGAGGCTGAGACTTGTTGTAGTAACAAAATTTGGTGTTTGTAGAGTCACATCGTGGGCAGTTCAAAGACTCTGATTGCTGAGTTTGTTGCTGTTGTTTCCTCATCAGATGAGGCTTTGGTAGCTCCAAGTTTATCGAAGGCCCTATTTAGGGGTGTAGATTCAATATAAAAATATAGCATTAAGCACAAAAGTGCTGATATAAATAGAGCCTCAGTGAGGTCATGTTTGTCATAGAGAAAGGTTTGTCTAAATAGGGCCTCGATAAATTTGTCAGGGACCAAATAAGGCCTTCGATTGTTAGGGTCAGTTGTCCAAAACTCCAAGAAGACATAAAACGACATCGTATTAGTTTCACGCTGGCATACTTAACGGTGACTCGGCAAAGTAACGGTCCACATATGCTCCGTTAGTTGGGCCGTCAGATGCCAACTAACGGACGGACGAACGTGGCCATTTTTTTCAAATATTTGGGACTAAAATGAGTCTTTTTTTATTGTTCGGGACTAAAATGTGCCTCGTGAAAATTGCCAAGAACGAAAATGGGTATTTACTCAATTTTTAAATAGTTTCCAATAGTTTACAATTTTTTAGTAAGATTTCTATATGTTTAAAAAAATTAAATTAATTATAAAGATTTATTTGACAGATAATGTAGTTGAATGTCTCCCGTGCTTGTTTGAGGTTTCAAATAAATCCCTATAATTTAGTAAAATTTAACAGTAGTTAAAACAGAAAATATTTATTTAAGACTTTTTAAAAATATATAAACTTAATTAAAAATAATAAAAGAAGAGTCTATTTAAAAAATTTAGTAAAATTATAATTTCGTAAAGAAAATTTAATCCAATAAAATATAAAACTTTTCAAAAGCATTTTCAATTATCTAAAACATAGTTATTAGTATCGTACAATACAAGATATGATAGGATACAATTCACAAGCCCATCAAGACAGCAATACATATCAAGTGGGTGTATCGAAAAAAATTGTATTGGACAATACGATACTGTATCATATGATAAAATATCGTATTGTGATACGATATGAAAATTAAATAATTTTTTAATTTTTTAATATAAAACAAAGATTTAAATTAAAAAATCTAAATATTAATATTAATAAGAAAAAGAAAATTAAAATTTAACTTGTGATTTAAATTAAAAAATTATTTTGAAAAGTCTGTATTAATAAAGAAAATAACTAAATAAATATTTTAAATCTCTTCCATCTTCAAAATAAAGAATAAATCAATAAAAAAATTATTCAAATTAAAGCAACATGAGGTTGACTAAACAAAAAGCAAAAAAAAAAAAAGCCTTTTCAAAATATTTTTATAGACTTTGCTTTAGCCTTAGGAAGTCGAATTTTTTTTAGTAAAATAGTTAATTGATAAAAAAAATCATTCATAGGCTTTAAGCTTCCAACAAATCTAATCATAGAGACGATAAACTTCTTACCATAATTTCTGATAGATACAGATTTGCACTAGTTATTTATGTATTTTGTTTATTGGATTCTTTTTAAATTTAAATTTACATGATATTAAATATATTATATATTTTCAAATTATTTTTTATTATATTTTTATATCTTACGATTTGATATAATTCATAATATATTGTAAAAAAAAAGGGACAAAATAATGAGGTTCAACAACCTTGATCTAAAATGAACTTCTCCTTCTTCAAACACAGTGTCATGTGCCAATATGGTAAATGCCCATAAATTGAATTAATCAATCACTTATTTTATTTTACACAATATGGCACTAGCTTTAAATTTATAATCCCGTGTAAATTATTTAATTTTTTTTATTTTTACATTATACTACTCTTAGTGGCTTATCAATCTTTTATATTAAAAGAGGGACTAGATAAGAATTATAAAAACATTGAAAATTTTGTAAACCCTGATAAATTCAATTGAAAATAACTAAATATGTTTAGTTTTTTTTTTATAACAATCTACTTCAATTTTAATCTAGGTTATGAGCTTACTTGGCTATTTTTTTTAAACGGCTTTCTGAGAACAATTTTGAGAAAAAAAAATCACAGGACTTGTTTGGATAAACAAAATTAAAGCAGTTAAAAAAAAAAATGTTTGACTCATGTTAATTTTTAAAGCCTCCATGCGTTTGGTTCAGTCCAAGTCATCGTAAAAGTTACAACTCAAAGTGCCTGTTTATAAGCTATTTTTATAATTTTCAATATAGAAATGGGTTTTATAATTCTTATTTAACATGAGAATTCAAATTTTTCTACACATTTTTCGATTTTCGTGCTGACATGTGTCCTACATATAATTTTTTC